GCTGGCGAGCAGCCCACTCTTCGCCATCTGGTATCGGCGAATGTCGAGGCAAAATGGATCGTTGAGGAGATATGCAGAACGAGAACACTTAGTGCTGGACTCTTGGATTTTGGTGACTATGCCATATTAGTGCGCTCATCGCCACTCACACTCCAGATTGAACGAGCGCTCGGACAGGCTGGGGTTCCCTATCGTATGGTGGCTGGTACCAAATTCTTCGATCGAGCCGAGATCAAAATACTACTGGATTACCTGCGCGTTGTCAGTCAGCCAGAACATAATGATGCCGTGGCGCGTGTGATCAATGTACCTTCTCGGAAAGTTGGCGATGTCACCGTCAAAGCGCTACTGGAAGAAGCAGAGATGAGCAAGATCACACTTTGGAAGCTTGTTCTCGACATTGCTCAAGGAAAAAGAAGGCCAAAAAGTAAAGTGTCTACACAAGCACAAAAGGGTATTGACCAGTTTGTCAACGTCATTTTGAGTTCTCGGGAAAAGCTTATTCCTGCCAAAGATGACGTGTGCGACCTCTTCGGGCTCATAACTCACATCTCGAACAAGATATCGTTTCTGTCATATCTCAAACAGAGTCACAAGGAAAACTGGCAAGACCGATGGGCGAATGTCGAGGAGCTCGTCAATCAGGCGACACAAATGGCCACAGCCGTTGCCAACGGAGAAGAGATATCGGACGATGCATTGCCTGTAGCAGAAGGCATAGAACAGCGAGCCGATAGCGCGGCCGATATCCTTTCGAAATTCCTCGCCAATGTCACGTTGTCGAGCGCAGCGGATCAAGAGGGTACAGAGCAAAACCAGGTCACCATTTCCACTATCCATGCAGCAAAAGGTCTCGAATGGCCTGTAGTCTTCATGCCCGCCATATACAATGGTTCCATTCCTCACTCGCGAGCAGACGACCAAGATGAGGAACGAAGGTTGCTGTATGTTGGTATGACGCGTGCCCAAGCGTTGCTTTACCTCAGTTGCCCTGTAAAGCAATCAGGACAAGAGCAAACAACCCTTTCACGATTTATTTCGGACCGCAAAGTACAGAAGTTTTTCAGCGAGCGAGGGCCAGATCTGGCGTTCAAACGGAGTATCATCACCGACCTAGCACGGATTCTGCGAAGGGATTGCCCTTCGACCGCAGATCTCGATCGTGCTCGTGATTCAATGGAGCGACCAGAAGATGACAAATATCCAGCGACACGAGACGAGATTGATGGCAATGATCCAGCCTGGGGTGCATCGTGGGACGAGAAGCGCACAAGTTCCAAGCTAGGTAGTGACGGGCCGGATCAAGCCCTGAAGCGACGGAGGATCGATGGCCTGGGCTCCCACTCTAGAGAAAGCGTATCAGTCACGATGAACCGCACCTCTAGCTACTCCACCTCCATGACCACAATGCAGAGCATGAATGCAGGATTCACAAGCGCCCGGGATCTGGGCGACCTACAAGCGATGCAAAGAGAGGCAGAGCGTATCCGTACGCTAGCCAGTACTCAAGGCGCACAGAGCAGCAAGGCAGAAGCCAAGGCAGTCCGGGCAAAACCTGCCAAACCACGTGCAACAGGCCAAGGTGCTATCACATCATTCTTCAAACGATCAAATAGCGCAATATCCGAGCAATCAGAACACGAATCATCCACAGCAGGCCCAAGCCTACAGCGCTCGCAATCATGCTTAACAAGTAACACGCCACTACACGACATTTCCAACGTACAGTCTTCGACACCGCGTCCCTTTCGACCACTCTCGATACCAGAGCACAAAGTAACGAGCCAACGCATTCTCAACAAACCGAAGAGGAGTGAGTCTGAGAGCGAGACACAGAACACACGATATGTGCTTCTATCAAGCTCGCCCACGAAACCTAATGCAGTGAACCTAAGTCAAAATGCAGAAGTAATCGATGAGTCACAGAGTCCTGTGAAGAAGATGGCGGCGTTTAGTTCAGGATCAGGCTTTCATTCAGCATCGACATTGCACACGACGTCAATGAGCCAGGCACAAAATGGGGCGGCACAGAGGAGAACATTGGGTGCAAGAAGGACCATGCAACCGTGGAGCGTAAAGCACAGTTCCATGCCTAAGCCACGTCCTTCATGAAAAGTATATATATTCTGGAGCTATCCCGGTAGTTTAGAAGTGGGTACATTGCATTACTCGGCGTTGGATTGTTGAAATAGGTACGGCCAAGTACGACATCGCATCGCATCACATTGACATAGTTGCCATTCCTACTCGTCTCCTTTACGTATCATTCATACCCTGTACTCAACTAGCAGTCGAGATCCCATCTATAGCACAGCAAAAGCACTGCAGTACGACACACTACTATCCTGGAGGTCTTCGACAAGGCTGCTCCTTTCATACCTCAAGAAGCTGAATATGCCCTTTCCTTCTTCAAGCGCTTCGGTACTCTCCACAGCAGCCATGAACAAGCCAATAGGATGTCTTCCACACACAGTGTTGCCCGTTTTCCTAAGCTGGTCAAGGAACTTTCTGTGAGAGCCAGTCTCGATGGCATCCATGCTCTCGTGGTCAACAGCAGCAATGCTCTCATGTATGGGGTAGTCACTTGGTACCCGCGAAGCTGACTTCAGCTGAGTTGCAGCTGCGCCATTGGGGGGCTGATAGTATGTGTAGCGAAAGCGAGAACCCCAGTGACAGAAGTCGGACGAAATGACGAAGATGTTTGTGGGATCAGCAAGATAGGGAGCAAGAAGGGAACCGTACCGAGTCTCTGCGGCGGCATCGGTGTTACCAACCATGATAGGGATTAGAGGGACCGAGGATGAGTCACTTTGAAAGTCGCTATTCTTGAGCGATAGCATCTTGTAGATGTAGGGCAGGTGCATTTCCAGGCTGTGCTCGTCTTCGTCCGTTCTCTTTGACATGATCTCCAAGTCCCATTCCTGCTGAATCGTCTGGACGAGGGTTGTGTCTACAATCAGGTCACCCAGCGGGGTGTGATACTTGTCGCAGCCCGTGGTCGCAGCGCCGGTTAGGTAGTAGTGGTGTGAGGGCCCGAGCAGAAAGACGCGTTTTCTACGAGCAATCAGCGCAGATGATCGACGTAAAGGTCATGTCTTGGTGACGCACGCATTGGCCCAATCGGCGCTCTTATAGGCCCATGCAGCGGCAGGCCCAGAGTATGAGTATCCGGCGTGCCTGCATGTTCATGAGCCATGGCTTGCTAAATGTAGCTATTGGATGGTGCGTACGGAGCAATGATGGCCCGGGCACTGGGTGTTGGTATCGAGACTTGGCCCTTTTGCGACGATGCCGAGCCGATGGGTGTTGTCGAAGCGGGCACTGCTCCGAGCCAGCCGTCGAGCTGCTGTGAGAGGAGCTGGCCATTGTCTGTATACCAGGAGCCGGCGTGGGAAGCTTTGCGAGTAACCATGGTTGGTCGTAGGATGATGCACTAGGTGAGAGGCTGTGGTTGTTGTTATGGTAGTAGTTGGTGGGGTAGTGGTGGTGATGAGCAGCGATGCGGGGCATGGGTTGGAATGTAGGGAGTTGATGACCATCGACGTAATGCCATTTCCCCTCGACCCCCACCACCAAGAAAATGCAAGTGAAACCGTTTTTTCACGTCTTGATTACTTTTCTGATAAATCAATGTACGTTGTATACTACAAAGCCGGGGCAATAAGCGTGTTGGAATAGTTGCACCACGCAATTAATACAGTTCCTATTTGGGACGCGACGCGCTCGCGACACGCCAGTCGCGTTCCCTGGCCAGCACCTTGCATCATCATTATTATCATCACCATCCCTAACATCAACATCAACATCGGCCTTCTACAAGTTGCTTATTCCCGCTCACATATAACCGCCAAGTTCCCTTGCAGATCCGCCTTATTCATTTCACACTTGTCGAACAGTACCCCCACAGCCATGGGCTGCAAGCGTAAGCACTCGTCCGACGACTCGTCGCTTTCCATCTCCAGCTTCAGCGCTATTTCCCCAAAGACCCAGGATGCCTCGATGGATTTAGATGCCCACGTGCGATCTAATGGCTGGGACTTCATGAGTGCTGGCCGAGTCAAGAGCAGCGATTGGGGCAACCGAACATGCAAAAGAGTGCGCGACAACCGACCAGATGAGCGCGCAATACATGGTATGCTGCATCTCCTTTCTTGCTATATAGCCACACTGTGCTAACCAGCACTATTCAGAGAATACTCTAAATAAACTCTTTTCTGCGCAACGCAACCATCGCGATATTGCAGCCCCAACATCCCACTCTCTGTCAAGTCAGCAATCTACCTTGGCCATCTCAAAACCGCAAAAGTCGACATTACACTCCTTCTGGAAAGAACTACCTGCGCCACCTGTCCAACCCATTTTCTCGATTCCTGTGCAACTTGGTCAGAGTTCCTCACCGCTGGCTCAGTGTGACGACTGTGATACACCATTGCAGAGCGAATACGATAGTATGGATATCGACATGGATACAGAATTGGAAGGATCTGTTGAAGGTAATTCATTTGCATGCAATGACTGTGGGAGAAACGTTTGTGGTACATGTGCAGTTGTCTCAGCGACAAGACATTGCTTACAGTGCGCGACCACGGGAAACGATTCACGGCCGTAAAGATGAGTGCATTTTTTTCTAGATTATTCGGTTCGCAGCACCACGTGTATTATTATCATCGTTGTATATGGGGCATTTGGCGGCAAAATATATCCAGCGAGCTTCTGCAGCAGGGCGTCCAGGGGTTGTTGTCAAGTAACATGGGACGAATTAAGCTTTCGTTCGCATAATTAACTCGGAGTCACTAGTAAGGTGCACCATGGCTAAGCACTGTGATTGTAGGAGTTGGTATGAGCTCGTTGTTTCATAAACGACACGGACGCGGCGGTTAGATGTCGGGAGGTAGGAGGGAGCCGAGTGTAGCAGTTTTCAGATCAAAATTACAATTCCTAATAATTTTTCAATTGTATTGATACACTTCCATTGTAGTCAATGGATTCTATGAAGATGTGTATGTTCTAAAATAACGCTGGGCAAATGCTATGTAATAAAAAAGGGGCAACCTCGACCGGAACGACACTACTTCTGTTCTACATCTCCAGTTGATAAATCATCTTTTCCTTTCCCCTCTCCTCTCGCTACCTTCCTCTTCTCCTGCTGCCACAAGCTCCATGTGCAGTACTCACCCCAGACCTGCGCAGCTGTAAAGATGCAGTGCAGAATCGGAATCAAGATCTTCATAGTGAGTGTCCACTTGTGGAACAGAGCACCATACAGTCCGAATATGGTTCCTGTCTCCGCCAAAGTTCCAATAGACGAGCACCAGAAAGCCACGGAAAAGGAGCGCATTAGTTTCTCAGATGTAACATTGGGATCGCGGTAGATGATCATGGTGACGTGAGGAGGTACCTCGACACTCAGGTCATAGAAGCCTGTATATTGTCAGTACATGGCGAATGCGTCAAATTGCGTGGCACGTACCCCAGAACAAAGCCAAGATAGCCTCCAAAGCTGCATCGGGTTGACGGTTGGTCTTCCCGCTCCAGTACAGCGTCAACTGGCCCATGACAAGCACCCCAACATGGTGTGCAACAGCGACATAGCTGATACCCTCCCGGTACGACAGCTCATGCGCGTACATGACTGAAACGATCATGATTGCAAGATACAGCGCATCGCCCATAGTGAAGACACCGTCTCGTCGCTTATGTCCTATACCAGAACCAAACATGGGCGTGTGAAAGTCGCCTTTGCCGAGGACGACGGCAAAAAAGGGGTAAATGGCAAAAACTATGACGAAGATCTTGGCCGCAATGGACAGATGGTGGTTTACGAAGCCGCGCTTCTGGCGCGCGTTGAGTGTCGGCCATATGCGTTTGTAGATGAGCCCTCTGTCCAGGGCGTTTTCGAGGACGTACTGTCGACAAAAGAAAAAGATTGCGAGAAGCTGGAGTAAAAGAGGTCAGAAGGTGTCTGCTAGGAGTCCAATGCAATGACTGATGGGCCACTTACGATTGCGAAGACGAGGCCAGAGTGTTTGATCATTGGCGATATTGGCACATTTTGGATATTGGCGAACCCTGGGAGAGAGCCAGTGTGTTTCTTTTTGTCATCCAACGAAGTCTCCATGGTGTAGGAAAAAAGATATCGATGATGCTAATATAAAGTAGAAGAGGACAGGTGGAGGTTGGGACTGCAGAGTTCAAAGAAAAGCCAGAGTGAAACGAGTGTGAATTGGTGAGGTCAAGGAGAGGGTTATTGAACCTCAAGTATATGACCTTGTGCGTACAGAATGCCCCATAAAACACATCGGTACCGATTAGTCGTGGCCCCAGACTCTCTTCCATAAACAATAGCGTCTTGCTTTACGAAACGCATGTGCCGACTGCGCCCCCGTTGCAAACGTCAGGCCGCACTTACCAAGATGCCTGAAGCACCGAAGCCACAGCACATATTCACCCCTGTCAATTGTCGTAAACATTTGCCTAAATGGCCTGAGAAAATGGTAGTGTAGTGGTTGGCACCATGTAAAGGAGTGGAGTCGCTTAACGTGCTGCTGACATTAACAACGTATGCAGCCACAAATGGCGCAGTCGCCGACGCCGTGTGATTGGTGAACCCCGGCACATCGAGACCGCGCAAGCCACACGTTGGTTGCGCATTTGGGCCCGTGCGGTTTGACGAAAGCCCCGACGACACATTGCTGAAGCTTAACACAGACAAGATTTGTTCAAAACAGCTTATTTGTTTGCAAATAGGGAGTGTTGTGTGGGCTGTCTGTGTCGGGTTTCACTGTTTCTCCGAAAATTTGCAATGATCAACCCTCTTCGTTTACTAACAGACGGTCATGATGGGAGAAGTTGCTATCGTGGGGGTTGTAACTACTTGGCTAGGCTCACAGCTAGCAGCCGCGTGTACGAGGGGCATCTGGCGTATAATCCATTTTTTGCCCAAGCGGCCTAGTTCGCCAATTTCACAGGCGCCGGAGTTGGCTCGTCAGAAACCCCTAATAGACCACAAGCGCGGTGTCGTATAAGCGGTGTTTTTACGGGACTTGACTACTTTCGGACATGAGTTTACGCGGCCTTTTGGCACTATACGCTGTATTACCCCGTGACCTATCAAATGGCCGCAGAACGGTTTGAAGTATGCTTTCTTCGAGAGGGGGAACAAGGCGTTTTTGAACGGTGCCAAGGTGCCTTGTCAGGCATCCGACAATGCTGGTTTACTTGGCTGGACCTATTATTTGCAACTGACGCGACGCTCTGCATGTAGAACACTATCAAGCCGCTTCGAGACTCTCTTTTTTCTTAAGAATATCACAAGTTCGCTCTAAAAATGGCGCGATTTTCAACGGCCCGCCTTACCTAGCGGCCTACGCAGCCTTATCCACCTGCGTTTACAGCAACAACAACATACGATTCTAATAGTGAAAAATCGTTATGTCGGCATATGCAGACTAGGAGGTGACCTGTAGTTCTTTCCAGAGGGACAATCAGCCAGTGCGCTAGACGCCAACTAAATATAGGCTCGTGACTGTCATACTCATTACATAAAGGTTATTTTTTACGGCGCAGCGCAGATATACGCAGAAAGCTTTTATTTGAATGTGCTATGGGTCTGGCTCATGATCAGAGTTAACAAGCGAAGGATTCAATGTTTGCCTTGACAGATCCAACAAGGTGTCACGGTACTTGTGGTTAGGGTGGGTACACCCAGTCAGAATGGATCTGTTTACCTTCCAAAAAATGAAGGGCTTCATCAAGAGGTTTAGATAGATGGTATCGGTACCAAACTCTGTGCGAAGGATTGACAAAACAACATGGGTGAAATAGGGGGTGTTTGGTGATAGGCCATGGTAAGATCTGCAAAGAACTTGGGTACGGTAAAGCAAAAGCAGAAGATTAACTAGTATTCGTACGCTGATTTGGGCTTCAGACCTGCGGAAGTAGCCGCTTGGAACAGTACAAAGAAGCCCACTTATTTAAGACTTAGACAACCGCCTGCAGCCTTAACCGCCGCCAGTCTACTAGGGTAGTGCTGAGAGTAAGGAACGTGTCAAGAGCGAGCTAAGCAGTGGGGGCAGGGAACTCCCGGGGAAGGGCGTGTATGCCACAGGCTGTCAGTCACGAGCTACGCGTAGAGCCGTACAGCCATGGATATGATCGTATACAAATCGTAAGAAATATAGGGATGATACCTTTCGTTATATTAATAGCCACTGCCGCACCATTTGATAGTTCTACAAACACTTTGGACTTGCTGGTCCGATGGCGTTCTACTACTAAGCGTTTCCGATCTATTCGAAGCGGGCGAATAGAGACTGGTATCAGTATCGAAATAATTGACAGCAACCCCCCCCAAAAAAAGACTACGAAACTTGAATACTATCAGGAAATTGTATAAAGCGAAAGCGTGATAAAAACCGCTATATGTGCAATATCACGCTCGAACTTGCGTTGGGAAGCGCTACCGCTGTACTCCGCGTAAATTCTGAACCAGGAGTTCATCAGAATACCCATCTTACCTGACATCTTCCCCAATACCTTCCCATAAAACCGTAACGAATAGCTGAATGGCCAACACAAATAAACCTCATCAATCTTTGCTACTATACCAGCCCCCACTTCCTTACCCCGTACTCATCCTAATCCACCTTTCCCCATAAGCAGACATAATCAGCATCCGCACCGTAAAGCCCAAGACTCTTTCCCCCGTTCTAGATAATTCAGCTAGCAAAACAAAAAAAAACAAAAATCCTGCGTAATGCTTCCAACACTGATTCAAGTTGGTAAATTACCATTTCGAGCAGAGCTACCTTCGGCACCTGCTGGTCATGCCAACACTCAAGTTCAGCCTAAAAAAAGAAAAGAAAAGAAAAGGGGCTGATAAAAGATGTGGATAAAGTACAACCGTGTACGGGATCGGGAACGGAGGTGTAGTGTAGCGATGGAGATCTATGCGACGCATCATTAGAATATTGTTTGCATCGTAGAATACAGATTCACATTTAGAATAGTAAAAGGCGTAGTCTATGGAATTCAAGAAAAGCATTGGTAATAACAGTCTTGATGCACGGCTGAAGCTACAACAACTTCAACTTTACCAAGGACATTTCCAGCCCGGGGTAAAAAAAATGCAAAGGAGATTTAATCTTTGGGAAAGACATTATATATTTGTCTTCTTTATGTAGTGCAGAAGAAGAAGAAAAAGTGGCATGGTACTACATACATACTAACAAGAAATAATAAGCGGAGGACTTCTCCCTTGGATACACATCCAAGTCCTGAAGCAACTACAAACTGCCCGTCAGCCCATACGAACACACCTCAAGATCATCACACGAAACGAACCACAAGATAAAGTGAACTGCCAGATACACAAATTCCAATTATGTACACTATACTACCCCACTTGATCAATATCCCCCCTCTATTACACTGTAAGGAAAATCGTAACATCGTCACTAAGTCCATGATATCTGAGCCAAAAAAACTAGGAACTAAGAAAAACAACAATTAGAAGACATGAGGCAGAAGTTTTATTTTCTCTAAAACTTCTTCGCCTCAGCAGTACTAGCATCATCACCGACTACAACAATAGCTGGCGCAGCCGCCTCCTCGACGTTTCTCTCCTCATTGACCTCCTTCTTGCGACGGAAGGCGAACAAACTCTTAACCTTGCTTGCGGCAGTACAGCAAAAGCGGTACACAATGACAACAGGTCTGCCAACGATCCTCGCGATTGTGGCGAACCACTCATCTGGGAAATAGCGGATGACGACAGCCCAGGGGATACATACAAAGCCGACAACGATGCTGATAGCCCACTGTGTTCCGTCAATGCCTCCGGGCTTGATCTGGAAGGCGCGGCCACCGACGAAGATGATGAGGACTTGGAGGCCGATGATCATGACGACGATGCCGATGAAGAACCAGTTGCGGAGGATACCTTCAAGCACGTTGAGCTTGTTGTCGAGGCGGCGGTTGTTGAAGATGTTGAAGATTTGCATCCAGACGAAGCAGTTGAAGATGAGGGTGTCGAGCTCGAGCTGTATGTTAGGGTCGGAAAGGTCGTAGCCGAGGATATCGCCACCGGCAAAGTAGAGCACGAAGATGACGGTGATCTTGTAGATGTTTTGACCCATGATTTGCTTCCACATGGTGATTGTGATGAGAGGACCTCGACCCTGGGGTGGGCGGTCGAGAATCTTTTCGGTCGGCGGGTCGGTGGCGAGGGCAAGGGCTGCAAAGGTATCCATAATGAGGTTGACCCAGAGGAGCTGTACGGCCCTGAGCACAGGCTTCATTTCGTCATCGTATACGGCTGTGACGAATGCGAGTACAACAGCGGTGATGTTGACAGTGATTTGGAACTGTTTTCGTTAGTATTGTGAACTGGAGAGAACCGAGTGTAGTGTGACTTACCTGAAGGAACTTCTGCACTGCATCGTTGACAGCGCGACCCCACATGAGAGCTGTGATAATAGAGGTGAAGTTGTCATCCATGAGAATGATCGAGGACGCCTCCTTGGCAACCTCTGTACCAGAGTTCATGGAGAAACCAATGTTGGCGGCCTTGAGCGCGGGAGCATCATTTGTGCCATCGCCAGTAACGGCGACGATCTCACCAAGAGCCTTGAGACGTTGGACGAGGATGCGCTTGTCTTCAGGCGAAGAACGAGCCAGCACTTGGAGTCGGGGCAAGACCTCGTCCAGTTGTTCTTCGGTAAGACGACGGAAGTCGGGGCCTTCCATGACCAAACCGCCCTCAGTATAGATGAGACATTCCGTTGCGATAGCTTTAGCCGTCTGCATATTGTCACCGGTAACCATGCGAACATTAACGCCTGCCTTTTGCGCCTTGCGAACAGCATCGGGAACACCAGGGCGAATGGGATCCTGAATGCCGACAACGCCAAAGAAGATGAGGTCGCGCAGCAGGGAGGCGAAAGAAACACTGCCACCTTCGGTCATCTCAGCGCCGACTGGGGGCCATTGTTCGAAGTCGCGATATACGAGTCCAATAGTCCTAAGCGATTTGCTAGCATACTCGTTGATAGTATCAGTGAGGTTCTGGCGTTCGCCATCTGTCAGAGGTTCAGTCTCAAGGGTGGCAAAGTTGGCGGAGGTAGAAGAGAAACCGAGAAGAATCTCAGATGCTCCCTTGACAACAAGGCGGTAGTTTCCGTTCTGGAGTTTGAGGACAGCACCCATGCACTTCTTTGCTGAATCGAAGGGGAACATGTGCATAACCTGTTGGTTGTCGCGAGTCTCTGCCAGGGAAACGAGACCAAAGTGGTCCTTGGCGAACTGAAGCAGGGCAGTCTCTGTCTTGGATCCAACGAAACATGGCTTTCCGTCTTCTTGTCCTTCAAATGCCGTTGAGTTGATAGCGACAGACTGTGTGATAAGGTCCTTTGCAACTGGTGTAACTTTTGATGCCCATGCCGAAATAGGCTCGTCTTTCTCTGAGACAGTATCTGCATGCACGAATCTAGTGTTGCCGAAAGTACCAGCAACGACAGTCATCCTGTTTGTTGTCTACATGATATGTTAGAACATTATTCAATGTGCATGATACAGAATACTTACCAAGGTACCAGTCTTGTCAGAGCAGATGGCGGTGGCATTGCCCATGGTCTCACAGGCTCGTAGAATTCTTACAAGGTTGTTCTCCTTCAACATCTTGGTCGTGGCAAACGCCAGAGCCAGGGTGACAGCAAGGGGAAGTCCTTCGGGAACGGCTACAACGATGATCGTTACCGCAACGATGAGAATATCCATGAAAGCAGAGCCTTTCTTCGCAGCGGAGCGGGTATCTCCATCCAATCCACCTACGAAGCGGAACAGCAGAACGAAGAAGAGAATAACAGCGGCAGTAGTTCCGAGTTTAGCAATGGCCATCGCGAGGCCGGCCAGCTTTTCCTGAAGCGGAGTCGTCTCAATCTCGACACGGACCGACATCATGATTCTGCCAAAGCTGCTGTGCTCTCCGACGGAAGTAGCCATAAATGTACCTACGCCTTCGAGTACCTTGGCGCCAGAGATGATGAATGGGTCGAGATCCTTGACTGGCTGACCAGACTCCATGGCTTTTGTGACAGCCGCGCCAGGTGTTTTGCGCATGGCATCCGACTCTCCTGTAGCGGAGGATTCATCGCACTTGACGTCTGAGCCATCGACAAAGATACCATCTACAGGGATGATGTCGCCCGGCTCCAAGTGGATGATATCTCCCGCTAGGATATCATAAATGCTAATCATGACAATTCTGCCAGACCGTGTAACCTTTATATCGCGCTGTTCCTTCTTTGCATTGAGCTTTGCAAAGGCCTGTTCTTTTTGCCAGTCATTCACTGCCGTAACGAGAACCACGATGACAATGGCTACCACAACAGCAGTGCCCTCTACCCAGTCGACGGGTGTAGGGGAGCCAGGGGGATGATCTCCTCCAAATGTTTCATAGAGACCGAGCGCCAATGAAATTGCAGCCGCGATGGTAAGGACTATGAGGACAGTATCGTTGTATGCGTTCCATACTAACTTCCATAGCGGAGTGGCTTTCTTTGGTGGTAGAGCATTTCGTCCGTGGATACGAATTCGATCCTCAAATGGTTGTCCGTCTTTAGGTAATCGGTCCGATGTCTTCTCCTTGGGGGTTGCCTGTGGGTTCGTTGCTTCGTCAAAGGAAATGTGCCGTGGCACTGTGGACTCGTCGGCACTGAGTCCAGTGTGAACATCTGATTGCAAGCCAGCTGCGATTCCTTGCAGGCCGCCGAGAGCATGATATACAGCAAGCGACTTGGGGTTAAGAAGCTTGCTCAGCTGTGATGGTCGAAAGGCGAAGGGGTTGTCTGTATCAGACGCGACTTCTGCCCGGAGCTCTTGCTGCACTGCTGCATCATATTCTGATACGACTGTAGATACTCCACTAGTAGATGCGTTACTTGGTGATATCGGTGTTCGGAAGGGATCTGATGTTTGTGAGGTGATTGTGTCGGCCTGGCTTAACGCGCGTTGCCGTGTGTTGATCTGGAGTGTCGGCGGGGCCAACTTGCCCGTCTCCATGGTGAAGAAGGAAAAGGGAGGTACAAGTCAGGTAACACTGCTGCCACTAGGTCTCAAATGATTAGAAGTAGGGGTATACTAGATACTAGTAGTAGTAGTAGTAGATAGCGGTGAGTGCACGTGAGGATGAAATGATGACTGGGTCTGACAACACGTCGAGGGGCGCGTCTCGAGCCGCCATATAGTACACTGGCTTCCAAGTGGGCTGTGTAGTTGTTTGCCCCATAACCAAGCCCGCTGGGCGCTTGGTGCCGGTATAGACCTGCCTGATGATACAAGCTCTGCCAGAGCCCAGCTTGGCGCGGTGCCGCCTCGATGAGGTTTCGGGCAATTTTCGCCATGACTGTAGGTGCAGGCCAGCAATGTTACGGCCGTGGCACCAGTTGCGAAATCCCGGCCATCTCCTATCGTCGTGCTGGACAATGAGCTGGCGAGCGCTCGCCAAGGTAGGCCAGAATGATTGCTTTGGCGACTAGAACCGTTGAAGGCGAGATGAGCACGACAAGCTGCCCGGCGGTCTTGGAAGGGGGCAGTGCAAAAGCTCTCCGCGCCTTGGAGCACGGACGCCCCCCAGCTTCCGCTCCGGCACACGCCTATGGCCTGTAGAATGTCAGAAGACATTGTATGGACATTTGAGAAGGTTGGAACTGAAAGAATCGTGAAGATGCGATAGGGACCATGCGTTTGGAGACTAGTTAACTACGTGTAGATCGATGCTCTAGTTTCAGGAACTGAGCGTATTGATTGGTCGGAGCTTGAGGCTTAGCTGCGTGGCGCTGCGTGGCGCATGTGCTTAGCCTCAGATTTATATTATCCGCGATTGGCTGGATGCTCTACGCCACTGGGCAGGCCAGCTGAGTACAGGGCTGGCAAAGCTGAGTAGTATACTTACTATGTAGTATTCGCCTCTTGCTGCGGCATATACTGGAATGCTACCTAGAGTCTCTTGCCACTGGGAGATTACCAGACTACTGGCCCTGGAATGCTGTAATCTCTCTCTTTGCATGCTCTTGCTCGGTTAATTTCAGCCGCCTGTGATTGGAGCTATGCACACTGTAGTAGCCCTATAACGTTTGCAATCTGGAACAGTTCGAGCAACACTTCTGTTTGTAGGCTGCCCACTGTCCAAGACGGCTCGGTTTTTTCTTCTTGAAACTACTCGGATAGAACTTGGTGTTGGTCACCAGTCTGCCTCGCCTTGGCAGACTCAATTAATCGGCCTTATTCAGAGCACTCCATGTCTCGCGTTCCGCTCCAGACAGTTGCTGATCATGAAAGTGACTACAATGTGTGTCCACGCCAGGCACCCTCGTGGCGATGAATGGCTCTTGACTGTGGCCACCGCATGACGGAAGCCCCTTTTACAGCCCGGCGACGCGAATGACGATGAGGTACCACATTGTGCCGCAGCATATTCTCTAGGAGAGTGAATGATTAGTACGCCCAGAGCGGCTGAGGAGGTTCTGCCGAGGTCCAGCCTTTCTGACGGGTCCATACTGGCAATTCGCCGCTCTGCAGAAATTCCCAAGTCATCTCCTAGCGGTCGTGGCGCGCAATCAGGAAAGAAGCCCGTCAACAATACTCGAAGGTGTTGGAGTGAACTGCATGACCATCTTGGCTAACAGATTCTGAAACTCGATGCACATCCCGGCAGTTACTATATGCCGCGTGATGTCATAGTTCCGCTCATCGAGGCCGATCTCCTCACATGGACGACTACCAAGACTGTCCGACTTGACATTGCAATCGGGCTGGAAGTAGTTACCTGAAATGGTTCGCGTCAGCCATCGCGTTGATTTCCACGTGTGGGCATTGCTAGGCAGGTGTCTGACCGCGCTGACAAGGAGGCGCGCAAGGCTGTGAGCACTAGCCAGTCACGTAATCTCAGTGCCTCTGTGCATTTGCTTAAGTCGGCCTATCCAACATTACGGAGGCGCATATAGACGAGTGAAATTGCCAACTAAAAGACAATGTCATCGCAAAATAAAAGTGGCTTTGAATAAGAATGGCTGACATTATTGTGTCTGTCCAAGCCATCTACGTATGCACTACTGAGCCTTCAATACAATGTTAACTGCACCTAGCTTTAGCCAGCCACACTAAGAGTGTCTCTTCCACTCGCTGATCACATGAATGTTCACCCTGCTTCTACACTCGCCGACTGAGCACATTGCACAGCCTTCATATACAGAATATCCCAGTCCAAGTGGCAAATCTAAATCACCCTCTAGGCAGTCTCCATATGTCCCCTCATGCGCTGCAATCTTTCATGACGATTACACCACAAGTCTTGAGCAAGGCAGAATCACTGCCCTGAAAGTTGGACCTTCTTGTTTGGCGTGCCCTCAGCCTCAACATATTTGTGCTTGCGCTTCCCGTTTCGCTTGTCCTCGACCCCCTTTTCCTTGCCCAGGAATTTGTCTTCACTGCTCGCACGTGAGTCAGGCTCGCCACAACCGCCAACCTCATCTTTCAGAGAAGATGGCTTGCTCTCTGAACTTTGTGTTTGTGTTTGCGTCCGGTTTTCTGTGTCAACTGTGTGTAGTTTGTCGTTCTTGGTTGGCTCTGCAGCCTTGACGTTTTCTGTTGAGCAGGCGGTGGGTGCGTTAGAGGGCTTGTGGGTCCTTGGCACGGATACTGCTTTGGAGCTGGGCGGCCTTGAATGTGCATCGGTATTCATTTGAGATGGGGTAATGGGGTTTATGCAAGGGCTTATCGATGCTGCTAGGTCGGGGTCAGGGCCGAATAGCTTGCGTTGGTCAGTCAACAACAGTGCATATATAGGTATGAAGGGGGAACATTACCTCGTCGTCTATTTGTAAGCTTTTCCTGTTCGTTTTGACTTTGTTGGTAGTTGTTGGAGGTTTGATCCTTTGTTTGTAATTGGCCTTAACAGCGTTCAATGTCTCGTCTCTCGGTCGAGTTTGTTTTATTTCTCTCGCGACTTGCTTCCCCTTTATATCTGGTTTAGGAGTATTCGTAATGGTGTCGTTACGCTTATTGTCGTCGTCTGTATTCCTCTTACAGAACGCCAGTGAAACTAAAGCGAGAACGGTCTATAAAAATAGATCAGAACACTTGATTCCAAATGGGAAGAGATGGCCTTACCTTGAAGTCAGTGGCCTTGACATCATCTGTCTGCGAGCTGTGAACAAGTCTCTTCAGCTGCTGAATATCTGAGTTACAATCGTAGATCTGCTTCTCGAGCGCAGCGACAGCTATCTCGATAGCGTCATTGCTCCTCATTAGTGGAAAGAGACCCTCAAGCGCCGTTTGGGCTATCCATCGACGCTCCTCGAGGGATCTGATTGCCTTGTTGCCCATACGCTGGAGCGTAAGGCATTCGGAAGGGACAGACTGCTTGGTTGTTGTAGCTGCTGTGGCAACTGTATCGAGTCCAGGCAACGCAGACTTGCGCTGTGAAGAAGCATTGTATAGTCCATCCTTCTTCTCAGTTGCGATCTTTTTGGCCTTGGGCTGTGAGATTGGAGCTTCGGTCTTGCCAACCGCATCATTGCGCTGTATTATTCTTGAGGCCGCATTCTTTCGAATCAGTATCCGACCAGAACTATGTGCGTTGTGAGTCCAGTCAGAAGGCCTTTGCGGGATCGGATTGAGACTGGAAGACTGCTTGGAAGATGTTGCGGATTTCCTAGCTGCTTCGGCGGTGGCTGTCATCTGCTTGATCTCTGAGCCTCTATTGACAACTTTAACCTTCTTGATAGCAGGCTTTGGCTTTGCAACATAGGCGTCGGATTTCTTGGTTGGTTCTATGGTTTTTATGATAGGAAAAAAAAGACAATTGTTTGGAAAAGATGAACGAAATTGATTTGTGACGTTGATGTGCAGCGTTTGTCAGTTGAGTAAAGTTTGTATTCAGCTTGTGAGTTTCGTTGCATAGAGACGACCAAGACATCATGAAAGATAAAGTGTAAAGCGGTTTCCGTTCGTGAAAGCTATAGTGTTAGTGTACAGTGAGCTTGTGGTGGTGAAAGCAAATAAGTGAATTGGAGCCTAAGACAGAATTAACAACACTTAACGTGGAGGCGCGCATTGTGCATAGCCTATGAATCTAATCAACAAAATCAAGGAATAAGAACTAGGCAACATAAAGTGGAACGAAAGACCGAGAAGAGGTAATCATGTGTCGTATTGGGTGCAGACATCATGTTAGTGTATTCACGATAAGACCTGTTAGCCAACGATCTGTGAAATCCAGTTTTAGTATAGCAGAGATACACGTATTTTTTGTTTTTGTTTGAAAGGGTTTGAATGTAAGGTCCTCTTGACCATTGATTTCATGGTATCGTGTTTCATTGTTGTTTGCCCACAACCCAGTTATCCAACTGGAAACTTGAGTGTACATTCATAGATCATATATAATGTTTAGAGCTCCTCCTTTGCAACGCCGTCAATGGAGACGAGCTCGGATTCGAAGACTGCTAAGAGTTAGTTCAAAAGCATCTGCAATGTGGCGGCTCAACGCGACTTACTCAGAACACTGTTGGCGGGAATAGGACCAGCACCCCGCTCGCCATATGCCCACTTGGGTTGGATGGTGAGTTTCCTCTTCTCACCAGGGCACATATCCAGTAGACCCTGGTCCCAGCCCTTGATAACCTGGCCTGAGCCGACAGTGAAGCTCAAGGGCGTGCCACGACCGTATGAAGCATCGAACTCGGTGCCGTCTGTAAGAGTACCGCGGTAATGGACGTGGATCTTGTCGCCAGCCTTGGTCGCGCGAGAGCACTTGGCCTCAGTAACGACTTCGGTCTTAAGGTACTATAGACATTATCAGTATGCTATACTCGACATACGCATATCATAACCGGTTCTACTTACCTCGTTGTTGATGATGTCAGCAACGGCGGCCGTGGCCAATGCAAGGAGTACTGTGACCTTCATTTTGACGGGTTGAAGGGATGTGCAGGTTTCTTTTTTTCGAGCAAGCAAAGAGTGTATGAAGAAAGGCGACGTTGCAATGGCGGCGCGACGGATGGCGGTGGCCCATGTGGGGAAGCATGCCAAGCAGCCATGTGGCCCTAACAAAGCTGGCTGGGGTGCTAGGTGTTGGACCCTGCCGAACTAGCTCCCATCTCTACTTCTAATTACTTGTAATTACGGAGGTGCCTTTCAAAAGTATTATCTGCCAAGAATAATCTATCCGAAGTACGGCCGCCTTAGCCGAGGCTTGTCTCTCCCCTCTATGTACTCATTACCACCTTGTAGCTCAATTATCTTTTGAATATGTACAAGAATTCGCTCAATCCAGGCTTGGATCTTAAGTTGCGAGAGATCTCTCCAGCAGTTCTGCCAGATTCTAACTGCCTCAGCCCTTGACTGTAGAGCTCCTTTCTTCGTAGTCTCTCTCTTCATATAGAACCAGCATGGCTCAATACAGTTACAGTCTGGCGAGTTACCACACCAGAGTAGTCTCTCGACATCGTGCAGGCGATAGATCACACTTTGATAGTGGTGGGCGTGGCTAGGTGCCTTATCCTCCATTACAACAGTCTGAGGTCTATCTTGGAGGCATTTTTTAGCGAAAGGAATCAGCTTTAGGATTAGAACGCAGGTCTGATATCTCCACCAGTCTATGCCACCTCCAGACGTGCGCACCAGCTTGCCTGTCTTCTCTGTCCATCTCTATTAAGGCTTCCTGCCACGCTTATTACGTAGCCCTGTCCTCCTCATAGACTCTGACAGCTCCCATTCCTCTCTCTGTAGAGGCTCAAGCTCAGCGTTCAGCTGCTCAATCTGACAAGCAGCATCCTCTTTCTCTGCCTTTATCTCTAGCTAGTAGACATAGCATGGACCCTTCTTATCGTACGAGAAGCAGCCCCAGAACATGAACTCAGAGTATCCCTTCCACCTCTCACGGATACAGCTCTTAACTACTCTCTCATCTGCCTTTCTCCAGACTCTATAGCCCCCACGTCGGTGGTTAATTACTACGGACGTCTCGTCTGTCCAGATGACATTCTTCCAGTCCTCCAACGTCCAGTCCTTATGCTCTAATGCCCACTTAAGACGAGCACTCCTCATCTCCTGTGTCAACCCAGGCTTCCTCGTTGGCTTAGTCTTCCTGTATCCTGCTGCTCTTAATACCCTCCAGACGGTAGAGGCAGAGATCTCAACTCCTTGGAGACTGAGCCCACCAGCAAGGTCAGCACAGCTCTTCTCTCGTCCATATCTATCGTGTCGTACTTGTTGGAATATCTGCTCCTTCACCTCCTCTGCCTGCTTAGTAGGTCTACCAGTCTTTAGAGCATCCTGAACGTGGTGTAGAAGGATCTTAATAGGAAGTTCGTTTAGCTCAAAGCCTGCAGCAATAGCTCTACTATAGATACGATCAACAGTACGAGGATTAACACCAGTTAGCACAGCAACTTGTGACGTATTCTTGCCAATAGGAGGTGACTTTAGCGCGATTACTAAGGTACGGGTATATATATCAGTATAAGGAGCCATAGTAAGAAGATAACTACGTAGTGGCAGGTAGGCTGATCAAACAGCTCCTCAGCTCGAAGGTGGGAGTTGCGCCAAGAAGAGTTGCGCCGAATCGCCGAGATTAGCGTCAGACAATACTTTTGAAAGGCACCTCCGTACTATTTAATATATTCTACCGCTCGACAAACGTCGATCGAATTATTACGTATGTCAAAACATATTGCGGAACACACATGTTTTACTCTGACAGCCTCGGCAACGCAGCTATGCGCCCCATGAATTTGTATGCCAACCACATCTTTGATGTTTGTGAGGGGTATCATTTTGTGGGTCTTTGCCTCAGGAGAAAACTACATATAGTACTGCTATCCAGTAGCATTAGAACCACTCAAACGTCTACTGTACACCCAACAAAGAAACACAAGAAAGTTAAATGTCGTAAAGATGCGCCCGTGCATCCACCAAAAAGCCATCCCATATAGAATTCATAGCAACAGTATCACTGCCACGTCAATAATAAACACCCTTTTTCAATCCAATCATCCCCTGTTCTCTGCCTTTTCCATCTACAGTCTTTAGCCCAAATTCCCTAATTTCTCCATTGTCCAAAGCGGCTCCCCCAACCATGGCCACAGCTTCCGCTTGGTTCCGCTGGTCGCTGGCCATGACCGAACAGTTGAAACTTCCAAACGTTGGTAACCCCGTTGCGATGCCGGGAAATTGCATGGACATGATGGGATTCCCACTGCAGTCAAATCCTGGCCATAGAGTACAAAGGGTGCCTTCGTCCGGCCCGAGCGATTCGATGCCTTCGGGGCTACCCTGGATATGACAATCGGTGTTAGGCTGAGTCCAGCTACATTCTCCCGAGAAATTGGGATCTGTGCATGTGTAATATGCTCCTGGGAGGCCGCGACGAGTGAGGCGCGATACTGAAGACGCCGAGGTTGTGTGGAGTATCGATAAGAGGGCGATTAAAGTGATGGCGATGGTATACATGACGGGGTTTTGTCGGGCAATGGCAATGGCAGTGGCGATTAAGAATTACTCTGGAAGATGTGCTCCCTGCAGAGGTTTGCGTGTTTGAGTGAATATCGCTTCCAAAATACCAGGCTGGAGTGGTTGAAACCGTATTTTATTCCTTTGTAAACTGACTTGGTCGCGACAGGGCCCTTGCACAATGCTGCACACAAAGAATTGCTGATGCTGATGTATATGCGTGTCTTTGAGCGAATGGGGGTCTGGTGCGTCTAGCACAAAGACTGAATGTGATCCCTTGGTCGCCACCAGTCAACATTGGCAAAGGAATGTATGAATGCGGTGAATAGCTCCATGGCGAAGTATCCGCCACGGTTGCTCAACAGGCCATTCGAAAATCGCGTGAATGTGTGGGAGGCGAGAAAAGCACAAAATAGCAAAACGACCAGAAACTGGAGATTGACGAGGATAATATGTGCTGCAGTGACCCGGGCGGCGTTCCGCCATGATGGGGGCGACCAGGATAGGTATTGATCCGTGAAACGTCGATCCGGCGGGGCTAAGGATGGATGCGACCAAAAAGGTCGCAGTACTCGCAAGCTTGGCTCCTAACTCATGTTGCAGCCGCATTGTGTCTCGGCTGCGCAGAGACGGATACGTACGTAGCTTGTATCGTCAATGTGCAGGCTATCGGCGCTGGATGGGAATTGGCACCTAGCTTGACAGGCATGACATGGATTAGTTGATATGATCGTCAGGAACAAGGTTACCGTACGGCTGTAGTAGACTGTCACCGGCGTAGTTGAGCGGGTTACCGCTCTAATACGAGTAATGTTGTATATCTTATTTAGACTTTCTGCGGCTTGTCTAGATAATGCATTCTTATCTGCATGCTGTTCAAGTTTGACAGTTGTAAACGGTGCGCGTATACAACATTACTTGCTGGGCAAAAACCAAGCCTTTTGTTGAAATTGCTTTGGTGACAATCAATGCCATTCGGTCTTGGGAGATCTCTTGGTAATAACAATAAAGCCATTTGTCATTCTGCTGATCTGGACAATCGATTTGAGATCAGGATGTGCCTTGTTGGTAACGCTCTCATCAGGTACAGGAACATGTTTCCTTGTCGATTGTATGCCATCATGTATGTGGCCGAGACACAATGTTGCAAGATGTGATAAGTTTTGTTACTGTTTACAAGACGCATGGAAACAGAGGTGTTCGGGGTCGAGAGCTGGGGGTGAGATTGAAGTCATATTTTGAGGCGGAACTCGGAGCCTCGAACTGAAAGGTGCCGGTCTACTCTAGCAAAGCGCTGCTGCATTGCCTGGCCGAGCAAAGTAAGTGAGATTGTGCCTCAAGGGCAAAACCAGCCTTCTTGTCTGGGAACGGGTGGTGTGGAGAGCATTATTGCAGCTGCTCCACGCTGGGTTGCGTGCTCCGAAGCGACAAAACGCAACACGTTTTGGCTAGGCCGGACTGGGATGGGCTGGATAAAACCAGGGTTGACGATCAGACGGATGTGCGGTTCGGCTGGGATGGGATGCTAGGTTCCGCTCACGCGAAGGTCATGATGTTTGCAATGTGCAGTGTATACATTGTGCAGACACAGAGAGGACTCGGCGGTTCAAAGAACGGCTGGGGGAATGCGCCAAGCCCGGCACTATCAAGGGTTCCATCGGCTGTTGACGGACCCATTCTGCGAACAAAAGTGCAGCTGCATGTCCGCTACGCAAGCAGCAGAATGCCCCCATGTTGAGAGTCTCGAGACGCCTGTTCTACCACAGCACCGCCACCATGGAGAAGCGTGACTATGCGGTATGCCCGCCATGAGACACACTCAGAGTGGAGCTGACGGGCGTAGGCTGCCGTCGCGGCGTTGAATACGCTGCAGTCAAACTTCTCCATCGTCGATGCGATACGCAAATCTGGCCGGGGTATGAACAAGCAGGCAATCCCCGAGATGATTGAGTGGTGTCGCAAGGTTGGATATGAGGTGTGCGGCTCCCACGACGCCCACGCGAGCATTGCAATTGACCGGATTTCCAGCCCTCCGAATTTGACTGCCTGAGGCCTGTACACATTGCGGGAACAAAAGGTAAAGGCTCGACGAGTGCCTTCATCTCATCAATCCTATCGCAGTATGCCACTCTCACCGGAGCCCAGGCGCGGCCACCCTCTAAGATTGGACTCTACACCTCCCCGCACCTACGCTTCGTTCGCGAGCGCATACAGATCAACAATGAGCCACTATCCGAAGAAAAGTTCGCAAAGTACTTCTTCGAGGTATGGGACAAGCTCGAAGCTGCAGCGCAGACAGAAAACGCGCCCGCCGATGTGCCAACAAAGCCAGTCTATTTCCGCTATCTGACGCTCATGGCGCTACATGCATATCTGAAGGAGGGGGTGGATTCAGCCGTCATCGAGTGCGGCATTGGTGGCGAGTTCGATAGCACCAACATCTTGACCAAACCCACAGTGACAGCCGTCACCAGCCTGGGCATCGACCATACGGCAATGCTGGGTTCCACACTGCCAGAAATCGCCTGGCACAAAGCTGGCATTTTCAAACCAGGCAGTGTCGCAATTACGGCGCGCCAAAAGGATGAGGCCATGACTGTGCTTCATGAACGGGCTGCAGAAAAGGGCGAGAAACTGCTTGTCGTTGATGTGCATCCGGCGCTGGTAAAGGACGAAATTAAATTAGGGCTGGGCGCAGCATTTCAAAAGATCAACGCATCAGTAGCGATTGCAGCCGCGGCCGCTCATTTGCGCGCGCTCGGCCACTCGTCCATTCCAGACCCCACGGCTGTTCCCCACATTGAGCTCCCCGCTGAGTTTGTTCGTGGTCTAGAGCAGGCTCGCTGGGCAGGTAGGTGCGAGGTACGACGTGAACCCAATGTGGCATGGCATATCGATGGAGGACATACCATGGAGAGCATTGAGGTGACTGGCCAATGGTTTGCAGAGCAAATAAGAGCTGCAACTTCGACAGCCACATCCGACCAAAAGGTACCTCGGATACTCATCTTCAACCAACAAACTCGAGATGCAAGTGCGCTAGCAAAGGCCTTGTATGCAACTCTCCAGAGCGGCATGACTACCGGCTCGACATCGCCCTTTACTCATGTCATTTTCACTACCAACCAGACATTCAGCGAGGGCTACAAGCCGGACCTTGTCGCCATCAACACTAACCAGCAAGACGTAGACACGCTGGCTGTGCAGAAGGCGCTTGCGGCGACATGGTCGGAGATTGATAGCACAGCAAAAGTGCATGTACTGCGTACTATTCAAGAGGCCGTAGCAATAGCAAGGAGCGTAGCGCGCGGATATGCAGTGAATGCAGGAGCTGATGCTGAAGTCATGGTTTTGGTTACTGGCAGCTTGCATCTAGTGGGAGGTGCGCTTGAAGTATTGGAGACGGAGAGGGCGCAGTGAGTGGTGGTTGGATACGGATATCCATGGGCAAGGAAGAATGTAAATGCGCTTCAACATGCGCTGAGGGGGGGACACGAGAGCCTCAACGCAGAGAGTAGTTGAATCTTGTTGGAGAAATGAGTCCAGTGTCGAATTGACAGATGCATGGAAATGAAGCCAGATTGCGTTGTCGCAGGTCATGCTGGCGATGCTGCAATGACTCAGTCGATGGCCTGGCCTTTCTAAAACGGCATGAGATGGGATCAGCATGTGAGAGCACCGCATCTGACGTTTGTCTGGCCTAATCTTTCTCGTCTTGGTACCTCTTCTCACGGCTGTCGGGAAACCTCGGACCTGATGTTTTCTGAACAATGACCCACCGGCCGCGCATCGCCATGTATCCATCAGAAGCCGTTTTAACCGATTAACAAACTGTCGGCTGCTCTCTGGTGCAGTGAAACAAATGCTACATGTCCAGTCGCAACAAACGTTTCCCAGCAAGCAGCGAAGCACATCTGGAGTCTGACCAGTATCGTCATCATCATCATCATCATGTCAAAATGGAGCACCCGTGTGGCTGTTTGCGTGTGGCGCTGGCAGTCAAACTCCGGGGTCGAGTGCCTCGGCGGCCAGGGCACTGTCGCGTGGTTGGACGATGACGAGACGGGAGAGCCGCTAGCCGCCAATCGACTGGTTCTCCCCATGTCATATAGCCCGAACGATTCCCCATCACCGTCGTATTGTAGTTATACACACGACACATCGTCGTCCTAGAAATTTTGCTTGCCTTTGATCCCTCGACTCAGAGCAGACTGACACGTTAACCACACCCAATCCTTCTTTCCTGCTTGTCCATTCCAAGATACAAGGCGCAGCTACTACCCTTTCTCGTGTTCTCTGCAGACATGAACTGCCCATCCAGAACAGACGACGATATCCTCTGGCACCCCGGATGGAATCAGAACCCACCACGCTTCGCTGCTGATCTCACAACGTGCGCTGATCTCAACGGCATTGCCAACGCACGGGAGCTGGGAGAAGCAGATCAGCTGTGCACAACACGCAACTTGCGAGCCTGCCAAGTCGACCATTTCAATGGCCAAGAAATAGACAAGGACAAAGCCATCGCCATGGGCGGGGGTGTCAAAGGGTCCTCAAAAGGTATGTTTTCTTCTTCTTCTTGTTTTCCAAAGGTTGAAACGAGAAAATAGTACACCGCGCTGATACGATTTACTTTTTTTCCCGGCTGTAGGACCTTGCACCCGAACAACCACGCATTTGACCAAGTGCCAAGCTAGCCTCACCGACATTGTCGTCGGTTGGGCCAAATGGCTGGTCTCTGTACTTTGTACTTCAATCTTCATTTCTTATGCCAGCGGCAACTTGACTGCGCCCAAGTTCTTCGTGTCTCAGGGTAAAGTGGAAATTCTCACGCCACAAATTGTCTGCTAACTTTTTTTGTCCAGATGCCCCCTTCCAACGACTTCCAAGACGAAGCACTTGTGAAAATGGCAAGGCGCACCCGGAATACGACCTCGCGCTTCATGTTGGCGGTCTCTTCATTATTCTCTTCGTGTCGGGAACAGGCTGTGCCTTTCCCATGCTCGTACTCAAGTTTCCTCGCCTGCGCATCCCCCCGTCTTTTCTCTTTGGCGCCAAGCACTTTGGTACTGGTGTCCTCGTCGCAACCGCCTTTGTGCATTTGCTCCCCACGGCCTTTGGCTCGCTGGGCGACCCTTGCCTGTCGAATTTCTGGACTACAGACTACCAGGCCATGCCCGGCGCCATTATGCTAGCTAGCGTTTTCTTCGTCACTGTGATTGAAATGACTTTTTCTCCTGCCCGCCATGTCTGTGGTGGCAATGAGGGCGTAGCAGCCGTCTCGCGTCCGAAAAAGGCGCCTGAAGCGGAGATGGAAGAGCAGCCTGCTCCGCCGCAGATGGGGCTGGAGCGAACCTACTCAGAATCGAGCATGCGCGTCCGTGATCTTGGTGCCTTGAAGGGCAGAGTCGGGAGCATCAGTAGAACGTTGTCCCGCTACCGCGAAGATGGCCAGAGACTCGACGCCATTGAATCCGCCGGGGGATCAGAAATCGGCGAAGCGCCAGTTGAACTCAAAAAGGTGGAAAGTACCGAATATGCTCCTCCACCCGACCATGAAAGCGGCGATCACGAGCATGTCCTCTCGCCCGAGCAGATCCACCGCAAAGCCGTCATGCAAGTCTTTCTCCTAGAAATGGGTATTTTGTTTCACAGCATCTTCATCGGCATGTCCCTCGCCGTCTCCGTAGGCAACGATTTCACCGTATTGCTCATCGCCATTGTATTTCATCGTAAGCTTTTACCTCGTACATCAAAAACCTACCATACTAACCAACACAGAAACTTTCGAAGGCCTCGCCCTCGGCGTCCGCATTGCAGATGTCAAATGGAGCCCCAAATCTATCCAGCCCTGGCTCATGGCGCTCGCATATGGCTGCACGTAAGTTTCTCCTTCCCCCCCCCCCCCAACTACCCATCTTTCATATACTGAAAACGCCACAGTACACCGGGCGGAATGGCCATTGGTATCGCTACCCACACGCTTTACTCGCCCGACTCGGAAATCGGACTTCTTGTAGTTGGCATCATGAATGCTATTTCTGCGGGCTTCCTGGTTTATGCGTCGCTGGTTGAACTTATGTCGGAGGATTTCCTGAGCGATGAGAGTTGGAAGGTTCTTCGGGGCAAGCGCAGGGTGTATGCTTGTTTGTTGGTATTTGTGGGGGCGTTTTTGATGAGTTTGGTGGGGGCTTGGGCGTAAAGTGTTAGTGTGGAGAATGCTGGGGTAAAATGGGGATGGAGAGGGGAGGGGAGATGGGATAAGGGTAGTAGGGTTGGTGGGTGGGGGGATGTTGATGAAATGGCGTACGGGACAATCTGGCTTGATGCGTTATCTCTTGAACGAAAAGAATAGTGTATTTACTACAAAGCACTATCAATACTGCGATAGCATCGTTGTTCAAGAAGATTAAATCTCAAGCCTAACCTCCATTCCTCACTCCATACACTCTTCCAATATCTGACAAACGGGAAATTCCATCTCCCCTTTCCCATACTCCCACACGCCATCCGCCGCACCACTCGTCCTCCTCCTCACAACCATCTGCCCCCGCGTCTGCTCCGACAACTTCACCACCCCCTCCTCTACCACCATCAACGCCTCCTCCTTTTGCCCCGCCACCTCCAAAACCCGTAATCCAGGCGCAGGCGCAGCACCCATCTCCCGTCCCGGCATAACCTTTGGCGGCACTATACGCACCTCCCTCACCACTCTCTTGAATCCCCTTAACCTCTCTCCATCCCTCAGAAAAACCCCAACCCCAAATTTCCTTGCCGCAAGCGCATTCAGAACCGCAAACCTCTGCTCAAAATGTACGCGTAACACCACATTTCCCTGCTTAGCCTTGACATCCTTCTGGATAAGTTGTGTAAGCGCCTCCGCCATATCCAGCGGTACATGCGCCGCTCGCCGTTTCTGACATCGACTCTGCAGTGCGCCATCGAGCGGATCCCATACCACATCTATCTTATAGCTTGCTACTTTGCACAACCAAGGATGGCGGCGCGCCAGTTTAGCCAAGTGGGTGGATATCTTCTTGGACCAGTGGGGTAGCATGAAGGTGTTTATGCGGCCTTTGAAGTGGATGGTTATGTGGAGTGCGATTCCGTTGTTGAGGAGCCACGAGGCGTATTCGTGGGCTTCTGGGGAGGACAGGGAGAGTAGGCTGGTAGAGCCGTGGTGGGTTGGGCAGAGGTGCATGGTTGTGTGTTTGCAGGTGAAGGTTTTGAGGGGGAGGGGGAGGTGCGAATTTAGAGGTTGAGAATCCGGGCTAGGGGAAGAGAGATAGGTGTATATTTCGTTGCGCAGTTCGGGGGGAAGATCCGGGAAGAGGGATTGGGGTGTTGTCGAAGGCATTCTTTTTTTCGTTATGTTCGATTGCGTTTTCTCTCCTTGAAAATAATGGCAGGTGGTTAAGATGAGTTTGGGTAGATTATCGATTTGGTCCCGTCGCTGTGAGACCTGCCGGTTTCTAGACGCAAAACTCGTAGGATAACACCAAGGTGATTGGTTCGAGTACAACCTATTGTTCGTCGTATACAACAATAGCCGTGCGGTGAGTGACCAATCACGTGACGGAGTTGCCTGTTGCCCGGGGTGAATACAGGAAGCCGCACGGCTCACAAAATGTCAGCAGCATTTCTGGCATATATCTGAACAATATCTCGTATACCTCTGAGAAGGACAATGTTTGAAACTGCAAAATGCAGTCTAGAAAATTTGTTGTTGAGCAATTTTTCCGTAGTGGTTCCCCCCCGGCAGCGGCTCGGCACCTTGCGGTTTTAGGAAGCGGCGACGATGGTGGAGCTCGACTGTACTATGCGCGTTTGACGAGTGACGCGGCTCTTTAATATACCGATACTTTTTGCATATGGTAATTTTCTTGTTGTGCGAGGACGGAGTAGAGAGTCGTGCTATTTGGTTGCTGCCATGCAGAGATGCTGCACATCAAGTAACAAGCCACATTGTGCTGATGGTATGTGTGAACTTTGGTTCGTTCAGGGTTCAGGGTGGATGCGGTTGGACAGGGTATAGTAAGTAGCTATGGTATAAGTGGTTCGCGAACTTTGAAATTACTACATGTTGTTGACTGAAGTTGGTATGGGCTAGGTATAAATGAGAGAAAGAAGCAAGAAGATGCAAAGGGCATTCACTTATAGATATCACGGCTCTTGATAATTTGACTCATCAGGCGTCTAGTGATCGCACATCTGGGTTACGAGCGAACTGCGCCCTTTGGCAAGGTGGTCTGTGCGCAACATCGAAATGGCTTGGTCGCCTCCAGATTATGTACCACATCTCTACTCCCCTTTTCTATATTCGTACCTGGTTTATCTGCAGTAGAGCTTCCCGCCTGGCCTGAATTTCCTCCTTAGCTGCGGCGCTCTTCTCCCGCTCCTCCTGGATCTGTTCCGCATACTTGCTGCGAGCTCTAATCCGAGGTCCCCATTTGTAGATCCAAAACACTGGTATACAGACGCCAGCAGAAACCCCAAAAAGTACCCACGTAGAGTTTTTGACACCAAGCTTCTTGTACATTGGGCCGGTATAGAAAGAGCAGATACCAGCGAGAACGTCTCTCGCAAAACCATTACCACCCGTGGCCGAAGCAGAATACTCTCCACCATAGGCGGCCACCATGTAGTCGATTGTGGCAAAGTAGATTGCAAGGTTGGCACAACCGATGAGTACTGCGAAGATTAGCGGTGCAATCCATGGAAGAGGCGGCCCCGTGACGACGAAAGCTGATCCAAACAAGCCGATTGGCAGTAGCAAGACCACCCAGCGGAGAGCTGAGAGTCGGCTCTCAGGGCTTAGTACGGTGCCGCGTGCACGTAACTGGTTGTGTCGTCTGATAATAGGGAAATATATCACTCCTGCTAGCCAGTAGCCAATAAAGAGAGCAAATAGCGCAAGTCCAAGCTGGCTGGGCGTAAATCCCCACCCGCTCTCACCAAACACATAGCCGTATGACTCCAGGAAGCTGAAGATGAGTGCATCGCTGAACCCGCTCAGCAATGACAAAAACCCAACAATCGGCTCGCAAACAAGCATCTTGTATGGACGGCCCATGATGCTTCCTACCTTCTTCCAGTCGAGTTTTTCCTCTTCAGTGGGTCCAACAACATTGTCGTCGGGATTGATTTCGCGTCGCCTCTTCGCTTCTTTGTTAAGCATAACTGTCGCTCTGGTTTCTGGGACGTAAAATGCGTGGATGGCCTGGACAGTAGCACCGAGTATCAGCTGGATCCAGAAGTTCCAGCGCCAGCTCAGGAATTGCTCAATAGGACCACCGCAAATACCACCGATAACTAGCAGGCGTTAGTAAATCTATTTCAATCTCAAGCGAATCACTCAACGTACCAGAGCCCAAGCAACTCCACAGGCTGACCCAGAGAATGGGCATCTGCTGGTCGTCAGGTTCAAACATATCTGCAACCATTCCAAGCGTCACAGAGCCGCCTGCAGAGCAAAGACCACCAAAGAGACGTGCAATCAGGACTTGATGCCACGAGGTACTGGCACCGGCAAGTATCTGCCATATGTTGACAGTGAAGAGCGACACTTGCATGATGGGCCACCGGCCAAACTCTTCGGACCAAGGAGCCCAAAGCTCACACCCGAAGCCATACAGAATCAGGAACCATGCCATTCCCGCTCTGGCGTTGGTGAAGTGATTGATTCCGAGATTGTAATGCTCGTTAAGACGCCCGATGGCGTTTGAGTACACCGCGGCGTTGTAATCTAATCAAACGTTAGTTCTGCGTAGTTTCGATGTTTTGCAAGTGAGTTGGTTCACTTACTCATACTGGTCTGACACAAAGCTACGACAGTCAGAATCTGCCACTTCCTCTTCGTGGAGAACATGTATCCCGTCTTTTCCACGGAATTTGCCTCGTCGAGCTTGAAAGCGCCGCTGGGGCCTGTATCGGCACTCCGTGTAGGAACCATTTCGATGCCATCGCTTGGTTGTTTCTTGCGGCTAGTGGAGGCGTCGCTGCTCCTCCCGGGGTGTGTAGCCATGATCTGTGTTATGTCAGTCAAAACATATTCACATGGTACATGAAATAAAGTCAACATACTGGCTGTGAGTCAGTGGTTTGGTTGTTGAATGGGGTTGAACTTGTGAGAAGGCGCTAGGGGTTCAGTCGTCAAACCACGAGGTTACTTGAGGATCGAAAGATAAGGAATGCTGGACATGGCAGTTCTTATGTACCGCGTTGACCAGGGCATTGAGTAATAAAACTCGAGACTGGGCTGGTCCGAGAGCCTTCATAACCGTAGGTACATCCAAGTTCCAGTGTATGTGCAATACGTTTCATTGCTCTGGACAAAAATGCGTGACGGCCCACGCTCAGAACCATGGTTCAACTGAGGCTTCCCCGCACATTGATTATCGTATCACATTCCTCTTATTTACCAATTTTGTGTCACTTCCATCCTATCCTCTTCACCAACAATAAGACTGTATATTAGGAAGTAGAGCTCCATCGCTTGAAAGCACACACACCCAAGTGCATCCGTATCAACCTCCCACACTATCTTCCTTCCTCAACATCTCACCTCCCCCTCCCCCCACACTTCAACCCCAGAAAATAACCACGGTCCGCAAACCCCGCAGGTAAACCACAAACATACCTCACCATTGCATGTAAGCAACGGTACCTAACCCGTCCTCCTCCCAACCATGGTTCCTGCATATCCCCCCAAAAAAGGGAATTCGGATACTCCACACAATGCGAACGAGACGTTCCAGCCTCGATGCCCCCTTTTTGCTGAGCCACTATACAATGTCCATGTCGAAAGGCGATTGGCGAATGTACCAAATGCACTTGATGCTTAGGAAGTACATGGGCGCGGAGTTACACGGGCAAAAAAAAGCCTAGGCTTCTCGATATACGAATGCTCAGACTTGGGGTATTAGCATCATCGTATCTCGTTTTGCTTCTGCTTCCCAGTTTCATTTCTGTCATTTTCGTTCACATGAGGATCTTGATCGCGTTGCCCAACAATCTCAAATCATACATGCAAGACGATATAACGACCGTAGTAGTAGACAACAACAACAGTCAATGGTGGTATTTTTTTTAAATCGACTACGCAGAGCAACTTTGAAAATACGTAGAGCGCCTACAACACCGTCCCAATCAACAACGCCAACCTGCCCTGCTTTTTGCTGTCATGTAGATATGCATACGCCTAGAGTGCCTCTGCAGCTGCCTTTGCCTTTTCAACCTTCGCGCGCTTCCTGCGCAGGTTCTCAGATTCATTATCGCGCTTGTTCTCGCCATACTCGATGCGCTTCAGCAACTTGCGCTTCTTGTTTGACAACATCATCTTTTGCCTCTCGCGCTCTTCCTCTTGCTCACGCCTTTTCTTCTCGGCCTTTTTGCGGATGGCCGCATTCTGCTCCTTCTTTGTTGGTTTCTTGACCTCGAGTTTCTTGCCTAGGGCTTCAGCCTCGAGCTCGCGCTGGTGCTGAAGACGGGCAGCCTCGCCCTCGGAAATGTCCGACTCGGCATCCGAGTCGAAGCCGTCAAAGTCGTCGGCAGCGCCAGCCTCTTCGTCCGAGTCATCGTCATCGCTGTCGTCTTCGGAATCGGCCACATCCATGCCCTCTCCAATCTCAACGGAATCGTCGCGGTCGACAATGGCATCCATGTTCTCGTCGCCATCTGAATCCACGGCAGCATCTTCTCCATCCTCGTCTTCGAATGCCTCGGCCTCACCCTCGGGCTGTTGAGCTGCAAGAGGCAAGTTGGGGTCGTACTCGCCCTTCTTGGGCTTCACCCATGGGCTCAGATGCGGGGGTAGGTCGGCACCGGGAGCATAATGGTCAGGACGCAGCAGCTTGCTCTGGTTGATGCAGTCCCAGACCCATTGCGGCTGGACATAGGTGCGACCAGGCATCATGGAATAGGGCCACTGGGCCTTGGGGGCAGCGGCGTCGCCATTCTTGCTATTTTGTGTGGACGCTTCGTTTGATAACGCCGGTCGGTCAACAATCTGATGTGTGATGTTGGGATCGGATTCGTTTGTGGTGAAGGCGCCGTCGCCGAGAGTGCCGTCCCAACCAACGCGCTTACAACCAAAGGCCTTGAGGATAAACTCGAGCGGTGCTCTGGGTGTCTCTCGCGATAGGTAAAAGGTAAAGGGAGCGAACAGCGAAGCAACCTCGGCACTGCTTGCTTGTGGCTGGGGCAGGATATCGGCGTCGGGCGCAGTTGGTTCGAACTTGTCAATCTCGTCATTGGCCTCTTCTTCATCGTCTTCACTGCGTTTGGCTAGGGCTGTTGAATCCTGAGCATCTTCATCGTCGGGCATGGCAGCAAGCTTGTCGGCGATTGCCTGCGCCTCCGGGTTGATGTCAGCATGCTCGGCATGGCCATTGGCGGTGCCGTTTGTGGCATTGACCTTGCCTTGGAGCTGGAAGGCAGATAGCTCTCCACCTTGCTCGTCGCTCTTGGCATTGAACTTTGGTGGGTAGACGAGGCCGACAGAGGTGTATAGACGGTAGTTGACGAAACCGAGGAGGGTAGTGTAGAACTCGACAAAGGTGCCCATGATACGGAAGTCAATATCTCCTCCAGTGCGCTGGACAAAGCGATAGGGAACGAGCCATAGAATGTCCTGGCCCTGGATAGTGGCCTGGTAGTAGATGCCCTTGATGGAAAGGAATGACTTCCGCAGCGAGTGCGAAGTGATTACGTAGTGCTCAAACTCGCGCGTCAGGCGCTGGCAGAGGGCAATTGTCTTTGCGGGGATGTGGTCGCTCGAGGGCAGGTTGGCGAAGAGGAACAGCATGGACAGTGCGTCGTCGAGGTCGCGCAGAGCGTCGACAAAGGTGGGGTAGCGCTCCTTGATGATGTGATCGAGCTTGACCTTGGGCATGAGGTTCTTCTCAAGGCGCGATGCATCGCCAGCCTCGCCACGGCCGAGGGCGCGGCCAATCTTCTTTGCGACCGCCTTATGCTCGCGGAATTTTGCCAGTAGCGGCTCATGGAGCAGGTACTGGATATCCTTTGTGTAGTAGAAAGTGGTGGCAGCTGTGGAGCCGCGTGAGACCTTTTTCTTATTGCGCGGCTCACGGGGATAGATGCCCTTGAAGATACATAGCCGGCGGAAATCTGGGAGGGAAATCTGGAGCTTCTTAACGGCGCGCGTGCGGGTGATATAGTTTTTGGCGGCTCCAGAGGTGCCTATGTGGGATGAGTCAGCATCTTTGTGTTTTCAATCAAGGGACAATGGCAGATACTGACCCTTCTTCTTGCTGCGCCCGGCCATGATGAGTCGCAGTAGTTGTGAGGTTGTTGCAGTTTGTGTCGGTGCCAGGCGAGCAACTTTTGGGCGGGCGCAAAAAAGTTCGAGATGCAGCGGCTAGTAGACAGGGATTGCGGCGTTAGCGGCGACAAGGGCCCGCCGCCATGCATCCTACTACCGACGACATGGTGGATGCATGGATATCCTGCCACAACACCACGTCGGCTGCGACTCAAGCCATGGCCATTGACAGCCAGCACCGCCTGCTGCTCTTCGGCGCTGCTGCTGCCGTCCGTCTCCTGCTCTTCACCCTCTTCCCCACCTTACCCGATGTCCTGGCCGGCCGCGTCGAGGTCTCCACCCCGGTGACAAGCTTCAAGCGGCGTATGTCCTGCCATGTATACCTCAACATCCCTCTGCCATTGCTGACACCACATAGTCCAAGAAGGCCTCTTCCTCTACACGCACAATGTCTCGCCCTACGATGGCGGCGTCTACCACCAGGCGCCTCTCCTACTGCCGCTCTTTGCCCTGCTGTCCCATCCCGCCGTAGCCCCTCTTGCGACCTACGTCTTCTTCACCCTCATCGACCTGCTGAGCGCGCATTCATTAGCCCAGCTGGCAGACACGGGCTTCGCCTCGGTCACGCGACTGTTCGCTTCCCCGCGAAAGGACCTGAGATGGAGTAGTGCTGCCATTGCAGCTGGGTACTGCCTATGCCTCCCCTTCATGGCCCCTGTGCTGACATATCTACCAGTTTCTTATTCAATCCCTTTACCGTCGCAACATGTCTCGCCCGCTCAACCTCAGCCCTGACCAACCTTTTCGTCCTCACTGCCATGGCAAAGGCTTCTCAGGGCGCCAGCTTTACATTCATTCTGGCCACAGCCTTTGCCTCGTACCTTGCTATGCATCCCATTCTGCTCTTCCCGCCCCTGATGGTCCTGCTGTACGATGCAAAAGTCCTTAAGAAAAATTCGACTCCGCATCTCCCCACGTTTGTCATCGTACACACACTTGGTCTCGCACTCGCAATTGGCGCCTTGCTGGTTGGCTCTGCTTTCTTGACCGGCTCGTGGGATTTTTTGGCTGCCACGTATGGTGTGCGTCTTTTGCTACCAGATCTGACGCCCAATGTTGGTCTCTGGTGGTACTTCTTCATTGAAATGTTTGACTCTTTCCGCGAGTTCTTCCTAGGCGTCTTCTGGCTACATGCCGCCTCGTACATGCCAGGCTTGACTATCCGCCTCCATAAGCAGCCCTTGTTTGTTGCTTGCTCATTGACCGGAGTCTTTGCCATCTTTACTCCATACCCCAGCATAGCCGATGCTGCATTGTATCTGTCTTTGGTGCCCATGTTCCGACACTTGTTCCCTCGTAAGTATCTTATTTCCCATGGCACGTGACCATCCTACTGACTGAACCCCAGTCATGCGTTACACTTTCCTTGCATCAGCCAGCATTCTCTACACATCTTTCCTTGGCCCTACCTTCTACCATTTGTGGGTATATGCCGGCTCGGGAAATGCCAACTTCTTTTATGCCATCACCTTGGTCTGGAGTCTGGGCCTTTCCATCATCCTGGGTGACTCCTTGTATGCAGCTCTGAGAGATGAGCTGGACGTGCAAAGGCCGGAGCTTCAAGGCAAAGAAGTTCGCCGGATATAACAGCATTACTATGCCACGTTGCATGCAGTGCACATCGCACCTGCGATAATAAAATAAAAATCACTGTTACATACAAACATGGGATCATCTCGCGTGCTGCCAGTTAATCACTCTCACTCTTCTACGTGGTTTTTCACTGCCTGACAAACATGTCCAAAGGTGGAGTGAAAGCGCCTCCTTAGTCCTCTTTAGGTTTGCCTGCACGCTCTCACTGTGAGTCTTAAGCACGCTTAATCCAGCTTCACCTCTCACTTGGTGACTTGTTAGCGTCCAGTGCGTCAACTTATAAAGTCTTTGTCACCCTCTTCCCTCTATTGCCCAAACCTTCCATTGCTTTCGTACAATATCTTCTCTACTCACGACTTTTGTGACATCTACAAAGCAGCAATATCAACGTTAATATCAACATTGCCAACCATGGCACCCTCCAACTCCAAGGACGTCTCCTTCACTCCGCGCGAGATGGAAGTCCTCGCCCTCGCATGGCAGTGCATGGAAACCCAGCCCAAGGTACACCTCCATCCCTCCATCCCTCCCTGCAATCCACTGACAAAATCCTAGATCGATATGGCCAAACTGGGCTCCCTTGCCGGCTACACCCCCGCCAGCGCCAGCGTCACTTTCGGCAGAATCAAATCCAAGCTCAAGCTCCTTGGCGAGTCTCTCCAAGACACCCCAGGCACGCCCGGCACACCCTCCAAGTCCATGCCCAAGAAGAAAGCCGCCACGCCTGCGTCTACGCCTCGCAAGCGCAAGAATGCTGCGCCGGCGGCGGATGCGACGCCCAGTAAGAAGGGCAAGATGCCGATGCGCGAGGAGGACGATGTCGAGGATGATGATGAGGTTATCAAGTGCGATGTGTCTGGTGTCAAGGAGGACATTGAGGATTACGGGTTTTTGAGCGGGATCGAGGCGTATGCTGGTGGTGGTGGTGGTGGGAACTAAAGTCTCTCATGCAAGTTTGTTACTTGTAACCACGGACAAGACAGGGTATGAGGGATATGGAGGGGGGAATTCTTCAGGCATTGTGTTTCAGGAGGGTTAGGAAGATGCAGCCGCTTCATACCCCTTGCACAGTGAATTGAATATATCCAGTATAGATGCCATTCTAGTGAGAGACTACTATGAGGTGTCGCTAATACGATAACGATGTATGTCTAGTGCACATCAAAACCCTTGTCTTGATTTTTCTACTGACCCATAGAAGAAGAAAACTCAATTGCTAAAAAATACAAACCACACGTCTACATGTAAACGCCCGCCACCACCTTGACACTACATGACACCCGCTTGTTCCATCTTACATAACATCCACAGACCCCTCCCACGACTCAAAGCGTAGCAATAGCCTCGAGCAGCACATCCATTGCCCTTTCCCCTACTCCCTCCAATCCCTCTCGCAGCGCCCACGCAACATCACTCTGCAGACCCAGCGGCACATACACACCACCCTCATCCTTCTTCACCTCCATCCTCTCACCCAACCTACTCGTATGCTCCCACTCCTTAGCCGCCTTCTCCGCATCCTCAATGACCTTGCTCGGAATTCCGCACATGGCAGCACAATGCATACCAAAGCTACCCTCCGCAACTCCCTCTTCAAGCTTGTACAAGAAGGTAATTGATTTAGATTCGTCGTCAACGTGGATACGCATACGCTTATTCTGTACTTCGGGGTGGAATTCAAACTCCTTGGCGAGCGACCGGTAGTGTGTGGCGAAGAAGCCCACGCATCCCACTCTCGTTGCAACGTCGTGCAGCACAGCCTGTGCGACTGCCACGCCGTCGTAGGATGAGGTACCGCGACCAAGTTCGTCGAGAATGACCAGCGACCGCGATGTCGCTTCCGACAGAATCTTTTGTGTTTCAGACAGTTCGACGAAGAAGGTGGATTGTGCGGCGAAGATGTTGTCGTTGGCGCCCAGACGAGACATGATACGGTCGACAGGTGTGAGTCTGGCCGATGTACACGGCAAGTAGCAACCCACCTGAGCGAGGATAACGGCTATGCATGTCATACGCAGGATTGTGGATTTACCAGCTGCATTGGCACCCGTGAGCAGGCTGATGTTGGCCTCATCACCGCCCAGCTTGATATCGTTGGGAATGAAGTCATCGACGGTGTTGAGCATGCACGGGTGGCGAAGCTCTTCAAACTCGACAACGGTTCGTTCGCCCTCTACAAAGACGGGTCGGCAACTTGGCTCTCCCAGTGACGCAGACGCCTTTGCGAGACTGATGAGGCAGTCGAGCTGGGCAATGATCTTGACTGCTGCAAGCCAAGTCTTGTAGTCTTCGTCAAAGCGCTGGCAGAAACGAGTGGCAACCTCGCGAGTGATCTGACCGTGAGTCTCTTGCGCTTCTTGCAATGCTCGCACCAGCTTCCGCAACTCGGGCGTGTAGTAGCGAGTGACCTTGGCTGTGGCTGACATTTGGTCCCAGCTATTGGGCACCTTGACCTTCTTCGGCACTTCCAGTTGATAAATCTCCTTTCCGAGGTGGTTGTAGATGATTGCATTTGAACCCTGTTCTTTGCGCACCTTCTTCAACAGCGTCTCGAGATTGGCCTCGCAACTGTCAATCTCCGCCTGGCTGTTATCGTAGTCTTCTTCGACGCCGGCTTCAGGAATCAGAATTCCATCTTTCCTGGCTGCTTCACGGTCAAAGGCAGACTTCCACTTCTCGAGACATGCAGCTAGGTCCGGCATCGATGAAATGAGCTGGCCAATAACGCCCTCTCCTTCGCTAAACTGCTTCAGCAAACTGATGGTGTACTCAATCTGCTCGAAACCTTCCAAGACCTTCAGGAAATCTTGTGCCTTGCACCGGCCAGCATGCACGCGGGAGATAAGACGCTCAAGATCTGGCAGCTTGCTTAGTGAGCCGCTGAAGTTCTCCATGATAGCCGAGTCCTTGTTCAGCGCATCCACGGCATCAAGGCGAGCGTTGATCTTTTGTGCGTCTGCAAGTGGGTGGCAAACCCATTGTCGGAGTAGTCGCTTGCCAAACGGCGTGATGCAGCGGTTCAGCATAGCAAACAATGTGCCCTCCGTCGCTCCGTCAAACGTATTTGCAAAGATTTCCAGATTGATCAAACTCTGTCCGTCGAGCACCAAGCTTGTCGCTTTGCGGATAGGATCATACCACTGAAAGTTGCCGAGCGTAACGAGATCGCGCTCAATCATCAGTGTTCGCAGATACTGGAGAAGGGCACCGAATGCGGACATGACAAGTTCCTTCTCGCGGGCTTCGCGTAACACCGGTGGCCATGCTTCGATGTTGTCTTCTGTTGGCAACTCGAAATATTTGTTGACTTCGATTTCTCGGATCGTGATGTCAGCTGGCCAGAATTCTTTGTTCAGCTTCAGCCAGTTCCAGATGGTGGTTGGTCCTGTGTTGTTCTTCAGAATACGAAGCGCCTTTGCTGAAACACACGACTTTTCTAAGAGCAACTCGCCGGGCCTCATTTGCGCAATGAGAGTTTCGAATTTGGTCATATCAATGTCATCTGTAAACTCACAGAGCTGAAACTGCGCGGTCGCCGTGTCAACAAACGCAATTCCGAAAGCGGGCAAATTGTCCCGGTCAATCTCCTTGATCGCCATGCAGTAGGTCGACATTTCGCTCTGGAGCATGCCAGTGTCGACAAGAGTACCTGATGTTAGTACAGTGGCCAGTTCTCGACGAATGACTTCCTTGCCCTTCTTCTCAGCTTTCTTTGGCGTTTTGCCCTTATCGTCACGTTCGCGCATCTCTTTGCCCAGAGCAGATTCCATCTGGTCAACCCTAGCCACTTTGTAGCCAGCGGCCACAAATTGTGTTGCCCACATATCCAACGAGGCTTCTGGAACACCCACCATCCTCATGTTGACACGATCAGTCAGCTTGAGATCAAAGAGCTGGTGACCAATCGATGCATCCTTCTCGTAGAGCTCGTAGAACTTTCCTTTCTTGAAGAAAACTATAGTGTCCCACCACTTACTCTTGATCTCCCAGTACTGCTTTTCAAAAGGCGAAAATTCACGCCAGGCAGCTGGCGGGATGAACAAGGTACGGGGATCGTAGTCAGGATGGTCGGGCGGGTGGCGGTCGGCGTCTTGCATGTTCGCTAGCCATGGGTATCTTGCTTCAGGCTCTGAAGCAGAGGGCTTCGCTTTGGCTCTTACGCTTAATTCCTTCTTCAAAGAAGGAACCGCTTTTCGTGGCTTGAATACCGTAGGATTCTCGGGATCGTATATCCATTGTTGTGCTGTAGATGTGCTATTGATTACGATATCTGCTTCATCCTCAACATCATTGTCATTGACAATAGGTGGTGGTGACGATGCCAGTGAGGCTTTGGCGCGTGGCTTTGTAGATGCTGGGCGTTTGCGCTTCTTCGATACGACTTCTTCTTCGGAATCATCGGGTACGATGAAATCATCAACATCGTCGTCTTCCTCTTCCTCTTCCAGCATTGCTCTTTGCGTGGCAGCGTCCAAACCAAACTCATCGTCGGAATCGTCGTCGACAACCACTCGCTGGCGCTTTGTAGCCCGACCCCTCGCGTTGTTTGCAATAGGTCCGAGTACATCGTCATCTTCATCGTCAGATTCTGCGTAATTGATGGGTTTTCTAGCCTGCCGTAAGAGTTAGAATAATGCATATTGAGCATACAATAGCTTGTCGGCATACTTTACGTGTTGGGCTACTAGGAGTAACATCCGCTATTTCTGGAAATATTACTCAGTGAATGAACCTAGCTGTCTGGCAAGCAACGACAAACCATTCTCCTTGTTCCGCCCTACTGTGAGCTCTCGGTCTTGTTTGATAGGACTTGAGTAGTCTGGAGCATCGCTACTGGGAACCGGCGTGATGGCAGCGGAAGGCTTTGTAAAGGCCTTAGAGGAAATTTTGGAAGTAGGTGTTTTTTGGACTGGTGTGACATCAGACGGTGCGGGGCTTGGTGAATTTGTAGACTTCTTCTGGAAGAAGCCGAGAATTGATTTCTGGCCCTTCCCTGACTGGGAGACTGAGGAAGGTTGCTTCTTTTGGGATGGGCGAGGCGTTGACATTTCGTTTCCTTCGACGCCGCGAGCCATTTTGCTAGTGCTATGGCAAGTGTTGAGGAGAGCAATGGCAACGGCAGTGAGATGGCGGTATCCATGCGACTACCGGACTCTGGGGCGATAGGGAACGCGTCGACGCGTTGCGCTAGTCCACATTAGATCTTTGATTGACTTGGCGGATATTGCCGCACCTTCAGGTGAACTTTCTCTTCGGCATCGTCATCGAACTTTGGTCCACACATTACGCTTGGACAAATAATGAGAAATCAACTAGGAGGATAAAACTCTGCAATATCAAATCAACCAACGGAAAATTCTTCTTGGAAGAAATTGTGTCATTTCCTAGTCTATGATGCTGTAGGAAACCGAGATGAGGAAAGGCGTTAGAGAGCTTACACCATGGATTGAACTAGACACAATCCCATGCTCTTTCGATACCTACTAGGTTATCAAAGCAGCTGTCCCTACTGATCCCCACCTACTTGTGTGGACAGAAGCAAGACTGAAGTATAAAATACGGTAGGTAACAACATGTCGAATAAAGCACGTCGTCGAGGATGCTCCCCTTCTTCGACGATTTGCCATCCGGTGCGATAGGCGACCGACGATATCGTGAACTTGAGCTAGCTGACGAGCCAGTCTACGATCCCAAGCTGCCAGACTCTGCACTTGGGCCGCTGCGATAGCTTGAATCCGACGATATCTCGTAACCTGAAGAGCTATGCGTGTAATGCGCATGCGGGCGGTCATTGGGATGGTCGATCGTCTCAGAATGATGGCCATCCAGCGCCTGGATGTAGGCTAAAGTCGGAACTGGAGGCCATGTAACAGACGGCCTATGCTGACTTGAGGCTATGACTGGCTGACTTCCGCCAAGCCGTGCTTGGCTCGCAATATCTCGCTCTTCTGTTCCATCGGTGGCGGCATATCGAGCTGTGGAAAGGTTAGATCATGCTCTAAAGAAGAACCTTGATGACATACCATTGTGGGTAGTGTCGTAACGGTTTGCATTGCTGTCCACCCTGTGGTTGTAATGCTTCTCAAGGCCATCACTGTCTGCACCTGGATTTGCAGTCGAGTAATTGAGTAGCTTGAGCAACTTGTAGAAGCTTACTGTCAGCAAGGCACCGAGCAAAGGCCCAACCCAGTAGATCCAGTGATGGCCAGGCCAAACACCCGTGACAACAGCAGGCCCGAATGAACGAGCGGGATTCAAGGAGGCTCCAGTGAAGTATACGCCGGCAAGCTCAGCAATGAAAAGCGCAAGCCCAATGACAAGCGGGGCGAGGAAGGTCGCCCTGTGCTTCTCTGTCGCTAGCATGAAGATGGTAAGAAGAAGCATGAAAGTAAGGAACATTTCGATAAATAAGCCTCTTGTCACCGAAGTCTCGGGACTAAGGGTTGTGTTGACAGCCAAAGGTCCGGGGAAGAGCCCAGAGACTATAGCTGCAGCGATAATGGCACCCAGGAACTGTGCAACGATAAGCCACAAAGCCTTGATGAACCCAATTACTCCGACAATGGTCAAGGCGACTGTCACCTAGGCAGTGTCAGTGACGCGATCCAGCTCGGAGCAAGAAGGTAATACGTACAGCAGGATTGAACAAGCCTCCACTGATGCGGAAGAAGACCCAAACAGTGACTGCTAGAGAGAATCCAAAGGCCAGAGAGATGTACAGCAACGATGCTAGATCCATGTTTGGACTGCCGTTGGTCTTTCGGAGATTGTTTACAACTTGAGTACCGGCAAAGGCGAAGAACAGGAAGAGAAATGTGCCGACTAGCTCGCCCAGAAACGCGATCAGTAGGTGGCGGGTATTGTCGGGAAGCCCTCTGAGGCCATGTCGTCGCTCCCCCGAGTAGGTTGGGTCTGCTGAATATCCTGTCGTGGTGGTTGGCATGGTTATGGGAACGTGCGGTGTATGCTGTCAAGAAGATTCGGGGAGGAGAAGGCAACAGCAAAGGCGATAAGTGAATGAACTAGGGCTGTCGGTAGTAGAGCTAGAGATAGGGATTGCAAAATGATTGTATAAGTTGGCTGTGGGTGTTGTTTGTAGATGAACTGGATGCGTGAGAGGTGGAGTTAAAGAACAGAATAGAAAAGGAAATAAACGAATAAAGGCTACAGATCAACGATGAAGCCGGCAGGCACGTCCAAAGTGCATGTAATCACTACCCGGTTTGGAGGCGGCGCTTACCGCACAAGTACCCATGTTGATGCGGCGATGATATGTCAAGGATAGTTTCAAACAAGGTGAAGAAAGGGCACCCGTACATCGTTTATGGCTAGTAGTCGCAGTACAGTTCCTTCAAATTGCGGCCTTCAAGTAATATTGAACGTGTCACTTCTGGATACCCTTCCTGCTATAGTAACTACAGTCACGTGCATAGTAAATGGCTTTTATCTGAGCCCTTGAGCACAATTCAAGGATTTGTCTTGATTTGGTTATTACTGGTATCCGTGTGTCTCCAATAACCTACCCACCTAATCCTCTTCCAAAAAGGGTAAAAAAAATTAAAAAAATATCTGCACTCACAAATACCACAAACGAAAACGACCTTTGCAACCCGAAAATTTTCGATCTAATTGGTAATGTTGTCTTCAAATATGAACCCATTGGGCAAAATAATTCAAACAAAACCCGATAATGTTGCATCACGTCTCCATGCCACTATTGCCACAATTTCGGCAGCATACCACCTCGTCAACGCGATTAGCGGGTTAACATTCAAGACTTGTTACTTTACGGTGAATTTTGATTTGCAACTCTTGAGAATAATTGCACAAGGTAAATGTAACATATTCTCATTCTATAAAAAGAAGGGTATTTCTTCAAAATTTATCAGGGAGTACAAAATATGAATGCAGTTCTTGCGGTATTTAGTGACCTTAATTCCTCTCTTTTCTTGTTAAAAGATAGTTACGACTCTTGGTATTTTTTGTTGTTACTACCGCGGTCATGAGTGCTCGAAGACTGATGATGAGAAATACAGTCGACTAGAAATATGAAAGTTGTAAAGTGTAGTTCAAGGCGAATTTCTGATTGTAGAGTGATGCGTCAATGAATCAGGGGGATGCGTGTCAAAGAGGTGATAGTTGAGAATATAGGTACTCACTCTCACAGTAGCTTATAATGGACACTTCATTACGCGTGGTAATTCAAAAGCCCATAAGAATTTCATTCAACATGCTAATCAAATTAAACTCTAATTTCGTTCCTATATACGCCCCTCTACTCTTCAGTTTTTTTCCTCCAAAATCTCACATCTTATCCGCCATACCCTCACCCCCCGTCCAAACAATATACTGCTCAATACTCTTCTGCATAGCATTTGTCGACTTCTCAATCAAGCCCGTAAGCGGGGTGCTCGCCGCATGTTCCCTCATAACCTCGAGATAATCATCATTAAACCCATCATTAATATTCATCTTTGCAACACCGCAGTCAATACACTCGCGTAGCAACTTCTCCTGAAAGTACTCTTTACCTGCGCCGTGCAGCACAAGGCTGACGCGGTCGCCGACTTGAGCGTGGACGCGCTTGAGGCGCTCGTAGTCGAGTTGTGGGCCTTTCGGGCCGTATTTACCGTGGACGTTGCCGAAGGCGGGGGCCAGCCAGTTGATGCCTGTTGCGACAAATTCTTCTGCTTGCTCGGGCGTGGTGAGGATGGCTTCGAGGCCCATTTCGCTCAGGTCGCCTACGCCGTCTTCGCCGCCGTCGATACGGCCAGGCTCTGCTTCGGTGATGATGCCGCGCTCATTGCAGTAGGCAACTAGTTCTTTTGTCTTCTCCAGGTTGTCGTCATAGTGGCTCATGTCGACCATGATGCCGTCGAAGCCGTTCTTGATATCTGCGGCCTTCTTTACAATCTCGGGTGTTTGGGCGTGGTCCATGTGGAGCGCAATGGGCACGCTGGCGTTGTTTGCTGCTTCACGGGCGGCATGGACAAGAATGGCATCGGCGTATTGTACCGCCCATGGAAAGAGCTGAATAATAAGGGGAGCGCGTTTGGCCTCTGCAGCGCGAACAGATGCGAGGATTCCTTCAACGTTGTAGACGCATGTTGCGCAGATGGCGTATTTGTTTGCTGCGGCGTGTGCAACAAGCTTCACGGCTTTGTTTTGGGAGAGATCAGGTGCCATGATAGATAGTATATATGAGGAACAGATGCTTTTTTATTGTATAGAACCAATTTACAGGTCCCAGACGTAAGACGTTGGAAGAAAAGAGCACTGTGCGGTAGGATTAATGATACAGCCCTGCCCCTCGTATGTAGTAGTTCCGGCTGCACTTCCGACATTCCGAGAGCCTGTTATGGCGGGGTTGTCGGCAATTGACTACATTATTGAACGGCGCAAACACCGATGATCCGGCCCGCTGGCCGCTCAATGGCTCCCATATCAATCACGGGGCCTGCGGGATACTCAGTTGAGCAACTCTTGCCGCAGCTGGGTTTTAGTTTCACCCGGTGGTCTTCCGGATTTTCCAGGTTGTTCGGATTCCCCAGATAATGTGCTCGAAAAAAATAATTGGAATACGCATGCTTCGACAATGAGTCGTGAAAAAGTTTAGATTAGCACTTCCAGCACTTCCCGCTAACTTTGTTCCTGATGCATCAATTATATGTTTGATATCCTACACTAGCGCAAAAGACTGCCGAGTCTTAATGGAAAGCAATCCAACCTTCGCATCAACCATGCAATCTTCAAGAGGGCTGTGGCGTCATACCAGATCCTAATTGTCCAAACACTTATCACGTCCACATCTCATCATCCTCAAAAACATATATGCAACAGAAAGTAATGTTGTTCACTCAAACATACTACTCTTCCATCTTATCCCCACCGTTGACAATGCCCGCATTCCCCTCTCCGAGATGTTTCAGTAGCCAACTTCGCTTGAAGTACGTATTGGGATGGACAATGGTATCCAGATCATTGTTGCTCCAACTGCCATCGTCCTTGACCTTTTTGATTTCCTTCTTGTGACTCCATTCGAAAACGCGATTGCAAGCTACGTGGTACCTCTGCTTAACCACATCTTCCTTTACTGTCTTGAGAATATCGCGGTCGTTAACGCCAACACGTTGAAGGAGCGTGAGCAGGTTGTCCGGTGTAAAAGTACGATATGGGCAGCCATGTGACTGCCCTGGTCCAGGAAGAGGTTCTGTGAGAAGTTTTTGGCACGAGTAAGGAGTGTAGCCGCGGCCACGACGGTTGGCGTCACCACCTACATCGCCGTAGGCGTGGCGGATGTTGTATTTGTATTCTTTTTGAAATTTCTCGTCTGTGATCAGCTTGAAGCTTCGCCGCCAGAATACTAGACACTCATCTAAGCTCAGGCCAATGCCTTTCAGGAACAAAGTATACTGTAAACGGCCATAGTGCTTGAGATGTGAGTTCTCGCGCAATGTCATGTGTAGATTGCGCATGCAGAGCGGGAAATTTTGCGACAGTGTATCAATGCTGTTAGCGGTTATGGTGGAGAGGCCGTTGATATCGGCATCTGACGTCGAGTATGCGGCGTCGGGCGCTGTGAAGGATTGAGAAAGGTGTGCAAGGATTGGTGCAAGGCGGTCGTCTTCGTCGAGGCGAGGAAGTGCTCGTGCTGTCAACTGTTCAGACGGTTAGCAAAACATTCGAAATACATGCATTGCGGATGGCATACTTCAAGTGCCTCGTCTAGTTTCTTTGTGAACTCGGCCACCACCAAGCTCATCTGCTCTCGTTGCGGCACGTAAGCCATGCCCCTTCTCAGCAGGATCTTTCTCTGTGCAACGAGTTCTGGCACTCTCTCCCAGTCAACTTTGAACCACTCCTGATCCTCAGTCTTCTTGATTCCGCTCGCAGCATGTAGATCGTCCTTCAATTCGCGTTTCTCGTCCTCTTTGACTTCCTCCCACTCAAGGTTCAGACTCCTTACGAAATCTTGTCGCTCTCGTATATCATCATCCTTAAACCGTAGTGCGAACAACATTGTCTCTAGCCGCGAAAACCGCCGGCGGAGATCCTCTGTTGACGAAAACGCAAGCCTAAGTATGAAGTGTGAATAGTGGTCCCTTCGCCTCTCTTCCTGCAATTTCTGGCTTCTTGACGAGTCCGATCGAAGTGGTAGGTATTTGTCCAGTATGCTCTTCATATATTCAGCCGTCTCTTCAGGGCTCTTGTTGCGGAAACTACACGCTTCGAGTTCGGAGAGGACTGCAACATCGAAAGTCAGCAAACATACACATGGTTCTTTGCGCATTGCCATGCCACTGACCCTTCAATCGGTTAATTGCCCATGTCTCAAACTCCTCGAGCGTGATTTCGGCTGTGGGCGGCAGCACATAGAAGTTCAGCCGGTGCTGGTAGTTCTGTTGCTGGAATTCTGCTTTGGCAAACTGTCGCTTCTTGTAATCAAGATTGGCACGACGCTTGGTATCAACTCGGGAATGGTCATGGCGGATCATGGTGGACTTGTGTTGTTGCTGCTCTGCTACTTGGGCGAGCAAGTCAGGCAATGTGGATGCAGTATGTTAAAGTGGCACGCGCGGTCGCGTCAACGCGTAAATTCACGCTAACCACGTAGAGCCAGCGCGCATTCCAGGTTTCTGATGGGGCACACTCGACACCAGTTAATAGCCTACCAGCATGCAGTCCTGAGCAGCACAATGTTAAAGCTACTTCATCTCATGCATGTATATCTAAGTAGCGGATTGTATCGGTTCTATCAAGTCTATGTTCATTTCATTCCACCTCTATGCGAAATGCATCAACGTCCCGATCCACGCTTGCTGTCTGCACACCACTCAGCCCAGCAAGTCGCCCAAAGCGTTGACGTATGCCGTGGGAACCGTCGGCGCACCCTCGGTTAGGAAGTCTTCCTTCTTGCTGACACCGGTCAGCACAGCCAGCGTACCTCCCAACTTGCCGTCTATGCCAAATTGAATGTCGGTGTTCAGTCTGTCTCCTATCATGCAAGTCCTGCTGCGGTCGAATTTGAATTTTCCTTCTACAGCGTCCATCATAGCCTGGCTCGGTTTGCCCAGAGACAGTGGTGCCCTTCCAATCGCCCTCTCAAGCGCAGCACCAGAAGAGCCTGCACCAGGGAATAGAGTATGCGACATTGGGAGTGTACTATCAATGTTTGTCGCAAGGTAAACAGCCCCACGTTGTAGGTACTGAAAGGCGATTGCGGTCTTCAGATAGTTGGAGTGGAAGTCTAGCCCGCTGAGTACGATGCCGACATCTGGGTCAAGAAGGGTGCCGTTAGCGATGGCATCGAAATCTTCTGGCTGGCGGATATCACGACGGTATGCCGGGTCGGTACCACCAATGTAGTGGACGCCTTCAGATTCGAGCTCCTGTTCCACGCCAGACTCGCCTAACACAAACACTTTGTTCTTCGGCGCGGGCAGCTTGAGAATGCGGGCAATGTATACAGCAGCACTGTAGGAGGAACCAAAGACTTCGTCCTGTGGTGGTCAGCTGGTGTTCATCCCTTGGAATCGCACATACTACGTACCACATTGGCGGGTATTCCTAGTTTGTCAAACTTCTTCTTGTAGTCGGCACGCGACTTTGTGCTGTTGTTGGTAACGAAGACGAGCTGCTTGCCTGGAAACACTTGTTAGCTCTCCCGACCCTCCCAGGAATACTGCAAACGTACCTTTACTCCTCAGCATCTGAAGTGTCTCGGGAACCTTGTCAAACAAATGATCGCCGGACCAGAGAACGCCTATCCTTTGCCACAATCAGCAAACCGCCACATGTTACACAATACCGCGACCAATTAGTTGGTGCGTACCATCGCAGTCAAAGAGGAAGACCTTTGGAATTGTTAGGTATGATGCGATTGACTAGGGTGGGGTGGTTTGTGGACATACGTCAAATCTGTCCAGGAAGCCGTCGATGGCGGCCTTGTCGCCGGAGAGAAACTGAGGACTTGCCATTACTGTTAAAATTCCGTCTTCTCGTACAAGTCTTTGCAGCGCGTTGAAGTGCTAATAGGTGAATGATCTGGTGGAAGATGACAATAGTGGGGTGCTTGGCATGCGTCTTGCAGTCCGTTCCGGAACGAAACCGATCGGTTCCGAAGGTCAAAAAGGTACTTATTTATTTCATCATTCGTTGATACATTCTACATGGTTCTTGGTCTCGTATGCCTCTTTACAGCTTGGATTGATCCAGTCAATCTACAATAATCTTCTTCTCCAGCTCCTCGTAGTTCTCGAAGAAGCTATCGAACAGGTTCACTGCGTGCTCGACGTCATGTGCACCACCCGTCTCACGGATACTGTGCATGCTGAGCTGAGGGTTACCCAGATCAAGGGTGCGAGCACCCATGGCTGCTGACAGCATGGGACCAATTGTGCTGCCACAAGACGAGTCGTTGCGAACAACGAAAAGTTGAAGTGGAACTCCTTCCCTGGTCGACGACAAATTATAAGAAGCGGGTTTCGCTCGACGCGCCGCCTCCTGGAGCAGGACAATACCTGGCGTGTTGGTAGCATAACGGGCATTGGCATTGACCTTGATGACTGTTCCCTTGTTCATCTCGGGCCTATGTTGAGACTCGTACTTGGCGGGATAGTTGGGGTGGACTGAATGAGCCATGTCGGCGGACACGAGGAAAGATGTTGCCAAGGTTTGCTCAAACGCGGTAGCAGTATCGGCCTCTACCTTATCGTACGAATTGTCAGAGTTGCTCTCGGAAGCGGGCAGGACGCTTAGACGGCGGATAACGGCAGGCAAAAGGTTGGAGTCGGCGCCTTGGGCTGTCTGCGAGCCGATTTCCTCATGGTCAAAGCATGCGATCAGCCGAATAATGGAATCCTTCTCCAACGCTGATGGAGAGGAAAGACTCTTGATGAGTCCCTCAACACCGCAGTACGTCATCATGAGGTTGTCCAGACGTGGGGAGAAGATGAGCTCGTTGTTTAGACCACCGATGACTGATTTTTGTGTATCGTACAGGACCATCTCGAAATCGACAATATCGCTGGCTTCTGCACCTGCCTCCTCGGCGATGATGTCGACAATGTAAGGGTGATGCCTAGCAGTTGGAGCGGCGAGTGGCTCGAATGAACCCTCGGCGTCTGCGTCCTTGGTCTCTTCCTTGGTCTCTTCGGTCTTGCCCTGGCGGTTCAGCTCTGCTGCAACCAGGCCAGTGATGGGGAACAGCTGTGTCTCCTTGTTGAATTGGAAATTCTCCTGACGATCCAGGTGAATTGCCAGTGTGGGTATCCTCAGAATGGGTCGGTCCACCTTGACCAGGCG